ATTCCAATTTTTCTTGTCTGAAATGTTGCTCAACATAGCAAGAAAGTTGTAGAGTTGGCAACAATGTGGTAACTATTGTTAACTGAAAACGTGCAGACAGAACTTGGATCACCGGTTTGTCAGTCAAACGTTTCTCACCAGAGAGCAAAAGAGGACAGTGGTTGATTCTTAGATCTTTCTTAGATAAAATTGGTGGACAAGCTCGGCTTCCACTTGAAAAAAATCGGCCGATCACCGATCTCCCAAAATGAAAGAAATTGGCACCGGTAAATCAGCGAGCAAATAAATTGGTGCATCCCTTATTGCTAATCCTCCTCACGCTCACTTAGTCTCTGCTCGGACTCTCTGCTCTCTTACGAAACATTTTCTGCTTGCTTCTGGAACAAAAATGGACCGTTGCATGGCAACCTCTCAGCCAATAGAATTAAAGTTGTATTGGGTGTATTTGTTTCCTTCTAGCAGGTGTGCCTGTACGGCTACTATTGATTGTAGCAACCTGTGTTGCTGTTTTCATCTGTAGTAATTGGGTCAAACGTTGGTCCCATCTTGTGACGTAATGAGGGTAAGTCAAAACATAAACAACTAAGGCTGGGTACGCAGAAGTGGAGGAAGTTGTGAGCGATTTCAGCAAAGACTTTAGCAATTGGAGGAAGAAGCTAGATTGAGTGATGAAGACTGAATAACTACAACACTATTTTTGAGCCATATAGTTCAACAATGATGCCTCCAACAATGTCGGACTCTTCCTTCTGGAGAGGAAGGGTCCGAGAATGAGGCCGTTGGAGCTGGACGTCTGTTGCCTCCAAACCACCCAATGGTAATAAATAGATCTACGTATATATAATAAGTATTTATCGTTAATTCTGGTTGAATTCCAATAATTCACTTACATTAAAGTCAAAAATTTAGTTTACACTTGTGACCTTCCTCACCATGTATACATTTTTAGAGGCACTTGATGCAAAAACAGTAAGACATTGGCAGTCCCTCTGTGTTTTCATTATTTTGGCTAATCTTGTTTTTTAAAATATTCTTAACACTTCTGTGTGCAAGTCCTTCTAAAAATAAGACGGTAACACTTTATTTGACAGGTTGTGAATATGACTGTCATGACACCATCATAAACATCAATAAGTCTTCATGAATATTTATGACTGTTGACATAAAGTGTCATTCGGTAAATTATGACACTTTTAATACAAAGGTGACATTATTCAAAATGTCTTTGTTACGACAACTTGACATTAACTAAGAAATCATGATCCTACATAAATTTGTTACAAAAGCATTCCTGATTAAACTTTTAAAATTATGTAGCTTTATGTTATTAAAGCTAAAGTTTAATCAGTTGAATACAGAAGTTGCTGTTGCTTTGGAGTTATCCAACAATCTGCTGACTGAAAAAGGAATGTAAAAATTCTAGAAAATTTCTTAGTAGAAATGTTAACGGACTGAACAAAGGGAGTGGCTTCAGTAAATTCCAAGAACGATATCTTAGATCTCTAATCAGTGGAGTGTTGTGGGAAACGTGTTAACTTTGTCACTTCCATACATCTGGCTTTCAGAAGAAAAAAAATAGACTTTTCTGATTAATTGGTGGAAAAAAATGGAGCTGGAAAAAATTAAGGCATCTTGACACAGCATGGTTCAATCAGGTGCATTAATTCAACCTTGTATGGGATCCAGGCAGAACATTGCATCTAAAAGCAAAGGCAAGACAAACTACTATCAAAATTAACAGAACAACTGTATTACGGTTCCATCAATACCAAAAGGTGAAAAGTTGTCATTTAGTTTGTACTTTTTAATATCATTTTTAAAATGAAGGTAACATCATATTTGCAAAAATTATATCATATTACACTTTTTAAAACAAACACAAACTAAAAACAGTGCATGTTTGGATGATGTCTCTGGATAGAGTCTTCAATTAGAGGTGTGAATGTGTGTGGTCTGTTGACAGTCCCTCAGCTACCGTTGCCTTAGAATACTCAGGCACACTGTCAACTAATCTTTTCCACAGGGGTTTGTAAAGCACACAAGATGTAAAGGAAAACAAAGTTACGGCCACTGAAGAATAAACGTGGTGAAAGTGGACCCACAGAGTTTAGGGTGATAATGAACCAGAAATGACACCAGCCAACAAGGGACTTGTGTGATGAAAGAACTGCATCCTGTTTATTTTCAAAGTAGTGAAGTTGGTGGCGACTAATGACTACTGACTAATTTGTCGGTGTAGATTTTTATCAAACCATGAAGTAATATAACAAAAACAGAAAATTCTTTTTTGACGACTTTTTGGGTAGTATCTACAACAAACCTGCTCATGAATGTTATTCAGTCTTGTTTACAATGCTCTAACTAGACTAAACTTCAACAATTCAATCAGATAGTATGGTAAGCTTTTACAAAGGGAGTAAACACAACCCCAGCTGTCTTCCAGTAACAGTGAAAGAACCGTATGAGGGTTACTGGATGAACAGCATGCCTTAAATTCCAATTAGGACCAAGACTGTGTGGGTTCAGTTTCACGGTCAAACTCAATCTTATTTATTCACAACCACTGGTTTTCATCAAGCTACTATATATGAATATTGCAAAATGAAATTACCTTTGAGATTAAGCTATGAATTCTCATGGGAACTGATGAAGAATTTTTCCATTCTCTCAGGGTACTCCTTACGTCCTGATATTTAAAAACGCATTCCAGCTCTTGACAATTCTTCACTGCCAATCGTCATGAACTTGTGGGTTGCTAAATATCTCATAAGAAGAAGCTAATTTTAAAGTAGAATACTTGTTTGAATTTTACTCTGATTTAGATTTGGCCTATTTTAATTAGTTTTCTAAAAAAAAACCTGTTAACAAGTTGATTGTATAGTCTTGCAAGAAGATGACAATCTGTTGCTTAAAGTGCACAGACCTTTGCCATAAGTTTAAACAAAGACTGCAAATTCTTCTGTCTGCCTTGTGAAACAGATGAGGGCAGTTGACCTGCTTACTTGGATGTTTAAAACGAATGAAAAGGCCTCACTTTCCTTCAGGTAAAAACATATGGCTTTCAACACAGTATTTTTAAGCAATGTGATGTACTTTATTTTCTGAGAAATAAAGTGTTACACACCAGAGCCTATTGTAGTCCTGAAGCAACTCATCTGAAATGTTTATAACTTGTCAACTGTTAAATCTTTTAGAGCTCTTAGTCCTTACTTCCACTAGACTGTCTCCTGGAGACAGGCCAGTGGTTAAGACTTATCATAGTTAGCTTGTGACGTCCTGGCGTGGTGCTGTGTGGTCGTGATGTTTTTGCCGTGGTCTTGCTCTGTGTGGCCTCTCTCTGTCAGTCTCGTGTTGATGGCCTTAATGTCCTGGATCATTTCCAACACCTGTGCCTGGTTAATGTTTCTTTGCTCTACCTCAGGCTTCTCTGATTGTTGAGCCTTCTCATCTGTTTAACTATTACGCACTTCCAGTTGTCAAACTCACACACCCATGTTCTAAGTCTTATATTTCTGTAACGCAAGACAACAAAACGTCACTTACTAATCACAAAGCCCTTCCAATTGTTCTGTTGTTCAATCCCCTCCTTTGCCTCCACACCCCAACTTTTTTAGAGTCTATTTCCCCTGCCTGACTACTTTAATCCAGTCTTTCTAGGGAATTATTTTAAAAAATCGAGGTGACAACCTTCTAGTATTGCCATTACCCTCTGCTGGATGGGTCGTGTCTGTTTCCTGTTATTCCTTTTCAGTGCTCTGGTGTTTACCTGGTTGTGTGACTTTGCTCCTACCATACCTGCATGTCATTATCCATTATCTCATTAAGAGCAGCTTATAAGGCACTTGTACTAGTCGTGTCTGCAGCTCATCAAAGAGCTAAGTCTTTATTCTATTTTAATTTTTAAAGAGTTTCATAGCTTAAGTCTCTTTGTGTTCCAGACACACCAACCAGACTTTTGCCTCTATTTGATAGAACCTGCAATGTTCTTCTAAATCACCAATCTTCGTCTATGAACATGTCCTCCTTGAGCAACTACCTCTGATGCCGTAATTATCCTCAGCTGCCGATCAACAGACACCTTTGCTTGATAAACCATTTACTTCAGCTCAAAACTTAACCTATCTCCAGTAAATCCTGATAAGATCCTTAGAGAAAAAACATATTTTAAAATTCTCAAGTAACAACTTTTAATTTAACTTTTAATTTAACTAACTTTAACTTTTAATACTTATTCTCCTTTTCTCAAAAGTTCTTTGGTTGAAAATCTTGAGCTTATTACTAACTCTAGCTATACAAAGTGCTAACTACCCTGCAGGTAATCTAACTTTGTCTTTCATCCTGTGGAAGAGGTTTTGTTGCCTGATCTGATCATTGAATTGACCAAAACATCTGCCACATTCAGCAGCATTTTTCTGTGCATAATGATCAGATTTGACTTTCATGTGACACATGAATTTACGTGGCTTCATAGAGTCAATAGTTGAATCTATTAAATGACCAGCAGCCATCATGGAAACATTCGCTGACATAAAATCAATCTGTTCATCAGAATTAGCTGGTTGCTGTCTAAGTGGTTTGCCTCTTCGGCTGAAGAAAGGATCAAAACCGAAACAACCTTAGCAATGTGTGAAAATATGTCCTCTTGTCACCCAGGAATTGCTTCAATCTGAAATCAGATATGTTAAATCAGGTCAGAGATCAGATTGTACTTTACACAAGTCATAGATGCACTATATGATTTAAGAAAGTTTGAATGTTTCTGAAAGATTTATGAAATCTGTGAGCCTGCTTTGTGTGTGTTGACAAAAAGACAAAGATGATGAGCGTAGCTTAAACACAGAAGCATTTCTAAAGGAAATAGGCATGTCCTCCAGCGACGTAGTGGTGCTCTGAAAAGACATGACGCAGACATTTGTTTTCACAGGACAATCCCCACAGTCAAAGTGAATAGACAGTCGCCTGAGTATTTGTTAAAAACCTATCTTGCTCAACAAGCCTGACGAGTTTGTTTTGAGGAAGTTGAATCAAAGACTTTTACTTGACTGGGAGTATAAATCAGTGTGTCGGAATGAAGAGCAGTAGGACGAAAGTACCGTTTTGACGGAAGCCTCAGGACAAGAGTAGGTGAGTTGATTATAAGGTGTTTTTACATCTCTGTCCCTAATGTGATCCAGGAGATACTTTTAAGTTCTAAGCATCCTGTTTACAGAATCCTTTTCTTGACCATCCAGCTATACTTTGTAATTAATACATTTACGCATAACCATTCACATGATTTCATGACACCACTTGGTGTTTAATTGGTGTAAGCTATTTGATTAGTTACTTTTCAAGATGGATTAAGAAATGTATTGAAGTACTGATTTAATTACATTGTAAACTGACTTTTTGAAACTCATTGCGACGAGGACAAAATATTTCAGCTTGGTTTAAATTTTGGGAGTCACAAAAATGCAAAAAAAAAAAAAAACAATCATAAATCTGAAGGAATCTTTAAAACCTAACAATGCTTGTTAATTGTGTAATGCTAAAACTTTTTCAAAAGTCCTATCCTTCAAATATTTTTACTAAGAGATAACTCTCACTCATGCCTTCTTCTGAGTTTTAAGTAACAAAGTACTTCATGTAGTTGGGAAAGAAAGCAAGGAGTAAAACGTTTAAAAAATCTCCTCTAGCTCAAATGAAAACATCTTCAACCTTCACAGGAACTACAATAAATAAAGTGGAATCCCAGTTTTAGATTGTAGTTTTTTAAAAAATGACATTAATGTACAACTGGCTGGTACTTTAAATATATCTTTAGTGTTGTGAGTTATTAAAATTCAAAGTGAATTTCTGCTGCACTGTTGCTTTGACCACATCTTTTTAGTCGAGTTTCTAAGTCACTGTTTGGCCCCAGAGTGGCGCACACAGTTTTGAGAAACGTGTATTGAATGGTGTTGCATTTTACAAGGTGAACAGACCACAGTGCATCCTAGTGACATTTAATGCTATGTTGGGGTTAGAACAGGGGTTTACATTGTTTTTTAGGGACAAACATTGAATATTTTATACAGAATGAGCTGAATAACACTGCTGTAGGGGCTTATTTATATAGCTCCAGTTCACAACAAATCAGTCATACATTCCAATTGATCCTAATTATCAAACATTACAGCAAGCCCAGTTTAATATTCAAAGTAGTGTGATTGTTTCTATCTAAGGAAACCCAGCAGATTGCATCGAGTCATTGACTTGGAGCATTCACTTCTCCTGGACGAGTTTTTTGTAACAACGGAAAGCGCAGATAAACAAAAAGAAACTTGATCAGCTGATGTGGGGTCTGATTGAGTGCATGTTTGTGTGTTTTATTTGTTTGCCTTCTCGATTTTTCCTCTTGCGCTTTGAAGCTTGCAAAGTTGGATTGTAATGAAAACATGAATATTTTTAATTTCTTCATCGGTCATAAGATTTAGTTTGAGTTCAAGGGTTTTCTTTCCATCACTGAACAGTGAGACTAGTGATGAACAAGTCATGAGTAGGAGCAAAATATCTCACTTTTATTAGTGCAAGGTTTGGCATTCACATCAGTTAGTAGCAGTGTGCAGAGTCATCTCCTCTAAGTCTGAAGGCATAGGTCTTAAGAGAAAAAACATTCTTAAGTGGAGAAGTTTAAATATTTTTTGTGTCTTGTTCACAACTAATTGTAAAAGGAAGTAGGAAATGGACTGAAGAGATTTAGCCCTTGCCTGTAGCAATGCGGGTGCAGCTGGAGTACATTATGAAGTCAAAACTAGGACAAAAAGCCTCTGGATTTACCTGTTTAACTGAGGCCAAACCCACATCTGTGAGGTCATGAGACATGGATCATGACTGTAAGATGAGGGTCAATCTTTGAGCAGCTGAAGCAAGGTTCCATAGAAAGACTAAGTTCAAGATAGATTGACATCCTCCATTTTCTGCCAAAGGTTAATTTGATGTGGAAGAGCAGAATGAAATGGAGTGTGTTATAACTGAAAGGATAATGGGTGGATAATGTATCTCTAACAAAAAGCTAAAAAGCTACAGGAAAGGAACCTTTGACGGGAGACACACTACAGATAGTTTGGCCCAATTTTACCCCTGATTTCATCAGGAAAGTCTAAGTCAGTCTGTAGTAGTTGTGGCCATTTTGGGAGGGAGATCTAGCAAAAAAATAAAAATAAAAATAGCAAAAACTGGAGTCAGAAAGTGTTTCAGGGGAACAGACTGGAGCATTCAAACAAACACTTTATGTTTAGTAAAACCTGAACAAAGTCAGTTACAGTAAGCTTACTGTCAACCCATTTGCAACTGTTGTTGTCAACAGTCAATGAAAAAGAGAGACTGAGACACAACAAAACTCTGAGCATTTATTCCCTTTTTTCTTTCTAAGTTTATTTGCAATCATACAATATTGCATCAAACAAACACAAAACAGCAGCCTGCATAAAACAAACACACTCTTACTAAATAAAATAAAATTCAATTCAGTCTTGGTTTATTTATGTAATGCCACAACCCTTCTCACTTGTCAAGGCACATTATATCAAGTCAATTCAGTCCCATTATAGAGACAGATTCCACGTCAATTACATATATACAATAATGTAATAAGAATCTGAAATACAGACAGACAAATGTTTCAAAAATATAAAATGGGAATAAATTGTGTTTTCTGCCATAAGGATATCAGTTAAGTATTATCTTTGTATGCGTGAAATGAAAAAAACAACTGGGAGATGAGCAGCTGGGATGTCAGAAATCTGTTCGCTATCGTTTCTCCAACCTTGTAACCAAACCTTTTTAAAAGCAGATTAATTGTAGTAGTCTCTTTTAAAACCAGAGTAAAATGTAACTTGTAGCAAAAAAAATATGTCTACATTATGGTACACATATCTGAAACAGAAGTTTTTACTTGTTTACAAAGAAGCTAGCGTTAGATCTGGACCATTACTAGCCACTAAAATCAGCCATTTAAGTCTCCCATATCTGTGTTTTAAAATAAGGGAAACATTTTTTATTCTTCATTTTCATTGTTTTGTTTTTTCGGCCAAGTGGAAATTGTTGAAAAGACAAATGACACAGATATGTTTGTGTGTTGTTAGGGATGTTTATGTGGTTACGCGGCCACAAAAAGTCACCAAGAAAAAACGTTCTGTGTCACTTTCTGCTTGTTTATGAATGAAACAAGTCTGAGAAGGTCAATTAAGTTGACTTACCTCACATCTGCTGTTATACTGAAATATGACGTTCATTTTTTAACTCAATGAATTAATAGCTAAGCTTTTGGACAGCCTCACCCATATGAATAATTGCCTAGACAATGGAACTCATACAGTCAGCTGTATTTTCTTTAGTGTATTTACAGAGAAACCAGTATTACGACTTGTCAAGAGTTACGTAAGTAGTAGGTTTGTTTCACTTTAGAAATGCATCATTTATGTTGGTCAATAACATGAAATGGGACAATTTTAATGGATAAAATCAATGTGGTTAATAACAATGACGCTATTACGATTGAAGGTCTGAAACTGAGCATTTGTATGTAAAGTAACTATTGTGTCTGAGGAGTTAGCAGATAAAACAGGGTAGCTACACCCTGGACAAGTGTCAGTGTACTACAGTGTGATATTGCAGCAACTAGTTGTCCTACTTAGTCTGTCCTCAAAAGGCTGTAGTTTCGCTAACTAAGCAGGAAACACCATAATTGGTGGATTCCACATCAGAAATTTTCATACACCTGAATTTTTTAAATAATTAAATAATGGAATATATATCTACATAAAACTGTTGTGCAACTATATTAGAGAGTACAGTTGAGATTCGAAACTGGGTGTAGCTACTTATACTACATTCTGGAATTCTTTGGGGCCTGTTTGTTCCAGAACTAGACAAAGCAAGCATGAACATTCTGGAACAGAGCCATACTTTCTGTATCATCATAAAGATACAGGCGGTTAAACTGCATTAGTTGTCAGGAATTTAAGTACGTGCTGGTTACGCACTAGGTTATATACAGAATAGTCTATTGGAGTTAAACACTTGTATCTGTGGTTTTGTTAGTTTTGTTCACATACATTATCCTTTGGTTGACTTACATTCACTCATCTAACAGGTGTGTTTCTGGGATTGGGCAAAAAACTAAAGCAAAAATGCTGACAGTTTCACCTTCCTGAGGAGGTCATCTATGTTCATGTAGCAATAAGCAGTTCTTGCATAATCTGAACACACTGGCTTCCATTACAAACTCCAAAACATTTTGTGTCCTAATGTTGTTGTCATAATGTCATTTATAAATCTATGACTGGTCCTCTCTTGTCTTCAATTCTCCGTCAGCTGGAAGAGTTCTTAAAACGTTTTATTCCCTGCTAAGATTTTAGTACTTTTATCAGATCATGGCCTCCATAACAGTTTTGGAAAAACTTGTAATCATTCTCCATCTATAGTTGGAATTAATTCCAAAGGCATTTAGTCCTTTGTTTGCTTATTTTAGTATTAATTATAACTAATCAAAATATTTCTTGATATGTAAACATCTGTGTTTATTTAATCTAAACTGACAATAATTGCGATTATTGCTGTCATTATGCATTAATGGCTTTGTAATTTTCTTATATTAGCTTGATTGGCTTTACCAGCACGTTTGCAAAGGCTTTGTAAAGTTTTCCTAAGATAAATAGATGTTTATGCTCAATCATTTGGCCAAGTTAGCACAAGGTTTGCTTACCTAGTCAATTTAAAAGACATGGCATGGGTTTTGTATTAATCCTAGCATTTTGAAAACATGCTTGAAATTATGCATTGCACAATCTTGTTCTTTTTTTGATCTTATAAAGTGCAAAATGTTAAATGTTTTGCAACTTTTTAACATTGCTCATCGATTTGCAAAACTGAAAATGACAGCAAAAAACTGTTCATATCATCAGGCGACGATAAATTACAACCAGGCCTGTTTTTAGAGTCTTGGTCTGTGAATGGTCTAGGACTCAGGTTGAACTCAGAGAATCAACACCTTCAGGTAAAAGACCTCAAAATAAACTCTTTGTAGGGGTAAAACAGCACTCATTGTTCACTTTTGTGTCAGAAGTAAGAGAAGAAGAAATTATAAAAACAAGGTAAATTCTCAACAAGAAGTCAAAGCAGCTTTTTCCCCTCAATGTTCTTAAGCAATAAATGAAACTCCAATAAACTGGAGAGCAACAGATCTCTCAACAATGAATCTATTAAAAATGTTATGGATTTTTCTTTTCTTCTTTTGCTCATGATCTGACTATGTTTATCTATCTGATGGGTGTTTGGCTCCGTGATTGAATTGCTTTTGTAAATAAGAGTTGTCGCAAAAATGAGTTGCACTGAGAAAGTCCTAGAGGACCATAATGGTCTGGTACAGAGGATCTTTGGTACAGAGGATCTTTGGTACAGAGGATCTTTGGTACAGAGGATCTTTGGTACAGAGGATCTTTGGTACAGAGGATCTTTGCATCAAATGAAAAGCAATGTGGATGTAGTGTTATGGTGTTGGCTTTCTTCACCTGAAGAAATCTGTGAAGCTAATGTTTATTATTCTGATTGGGAGCAGCCATCACTTGGTGACAGTGATAAATGTCAGGGTCATTGTTCCCATTTAAGATAATATCTGCTGACGTCAGAGAATTTAGTTGACCACAATCTGATCTTCCCTTAAAACACTGAATGAGGAAGACAGTAAAAATTCTGGGGGGAAAAAAAGTTTGTAGTACAGTTTTGCTTTAGCCAAACAAAGGCATAAACAAAGCAAAACAATGTGGTTTCGCTTTCTCTTTTGCTGCACTAACATTAGCTGCTGCCAAGACAAGTTTTTCATTTGTTTGTTTAAGTTTGATCTTTTAACAAACTACTGGAAATATAAACCATCACCATTTCTAAATGATTCTGCCAACCCTTTTTAAGTAAACACTGATGGTTGAACCCAAATATGACTGGTCTCTTCTGAAATGGTTGTAGCATTTATGTGTATTTCTGGGCAGGGAACATTTAAAAGCTTAGCTTACATGACTAAGTACATGGAATGGCATCATACAGGTCCAACAACTACAAGTCTTTACACCATTAGACCAGTAAGATTGTATATATGTAATTGCTGGTTTTCTTGTAGATGTTTTTAGGAACACTTAAGCTTGGAAGGTATTTACCTTTATTCTCTCTTTAGTGAAGATGGCTTTACCAAAGGCCCTGCGGTTCGGTGTTTTGCTGTTGTTAATATGCTTCACTCTCGACCAACCAGGATTCAGACAGTCTGTGTCCGTGTTCTTTCAGGTGAGCCTGGCATGTTACCAACCTTATTGTAGCGTCACACCATGTGAGATTGTCCTTTCACAGTGTAAAACACATAAATAGTTACTTTCATTGGTCAAAATTGCAAAGATAAGCAGAAGTGCTGATGCTTTACAGGATCTGAGGGATGCCACATCATCCATCCTTCATACCAGAGAGAAAAGAGAAGGTGAGTCACTGTAGAAAAAAATGGCTCCTTTCTGGATACACTAAATGTCTCATTAATGTCACTGTTAGGACAGTCATTAAAGGAAGTTTTTCTTCCAGCCTCTTCTGTTCTCTCAAACTTCACTGAACACGACCTCCAACTTGTCATAACCTTCTCTGACCTCGAGAGTCTCCGAAGGATTCTCGACAACTTCAGCTTCCCCGTTGTGATCAACAACACTGTGGAAATCAACAGCCTTGAGACCACAACAGGTATAACACGGCTTAGTGTTGTTTTCATTTTTGACAAACATTAATGCTGTACCATGTCCTCCTGTTCTGGGAACAAAATTAAGTCTTTGTATTGCGTTGATGTTTTTTTGTTTTTTTTCTTCTTCCCACAGTGTGTTCACCAAACATAACTGGGTACCAGTGTGTATGTGAGGAGAACTTTGCCTGGTCTTACAACAACTGCATTACGTATGGGGTCTGTGACCCCATCATTGGTGGCACATGTGGCTGCATTAATGACCTGCCAGCTGATGTTCAGTTCTGCCAGTCAAACAGCAGCCAAACAGGTAGGCCTGAAAAACCAGCATTCATCAGTCAGTAGAGCAAAAGTTCTATTCAAGCTCTATATATATTGAACTAAAAACTATAACAATTTAAAATACATGCCACTAATATGAAGTGACATGTTAGTAGCATGTTTTTGCCTCTAACATGTTACTTATTATTTTTGCTGTAACATATTACTGCGAAAATAATAAGAATTAATGCATTTGTGAATGGTATTATAAACACTGACCGAGCACAGGCTGTATACAGAGCATCAAGAGAGACTTTAAATGTATTTTTGGTTAAAATAGTGTGGATATATTTACTTCCTTAACCATTCAAGTCTAAGAGATGAGGTGAAGAGAGACCAAGTATGTAGGTATGTTGCAGGCAGATGCAAGATAAAAACCACCATACTGATATACTTTACTTTAAACCTGTTCGGGTGGGGGAGGTGAGAAACAGATGGTGAAAAGGGAACAAAGAACAGAGGTGCCTAAGGACATCTAGTGGCTATGACAGTACAAGAACAGCACAGGTCAATCCATGAATGAATTTCAGAACTGCATAGGCTATTTTCATAAAACATATATGTCTGAACAATGCATTGTTATATAATACTGCATTGTTATAGCAAAGACGATAATCTATTTTTGCAAAACCATTGATAAAGGAATTGATTTTTCTCTTCTAATGCCAGTTTTTCCTCTATTTGTCCTGTTTTTTTTATATAATTTGTTATATACATTATATTGTTGGTTTATTTATTTTTTTCCTTTTGTCTTGAAAATATTATGTCATTTCTGTTTGTGGACTCATGGTTTTACTAACTTGTGGAGTCAAAGATGAAGGTTATTTCAAGGTGTGAACCACAACCAACAACAGAAGATTTTTTACTGGAACAAATGTGCAAAATAAAGATATTTTTGCATATTTTTAATATAACCCTCATTTGCTGTGGTGGGCCCCATTACTAAAAGGTTAGCTGCGCTAACCCTGAAGCACTAATCATAAAAGGTAGTTTTAACACTACAGCAAATAGCACACTAACGTGGTCGTTAGTGCTAAGGCTAAATGCCTACATTCAATTCAAAAGATGTCTATGAAAGAGTACAACAATCAAACGCTAATTTAGTTCTGATATGTTAATGTACATGTTATAAAATACCCTTAGATCATGTTTCTGTGTTCATATCTTGTTCTCCACTGTCTGTGATTTATATGGTAAAGTTATTGGGGGGGGGAAAAAAGAAAGAATGGCAGAATAAGAAACCTAACTGCTGCATGAACGATCTTCAGTCACTTCAAAATAAGAGCATAAATATAAATGTCTAACTACTTGAAGAATTCTTAAGTTGATAGTCAAAACATCGATATGGATCTCAAACTTTGACTGAAAGTTTTATAAAACAACCAAATACATTTATCCAGAAACATTAATTTGGGGTAAACTAAGCTGGCTAAATGTTTACAAAGTTAGCTAGAGCGTTTAGCAAAAAAGACAAAAAAAAAACAAAACAAAACAATGCACTGTTGGATAAACAATGGACTTTTAGTGCAATGTTTATCTAGGAGTGAGGCCATCGTATTTGGTTTTGAGTATCTTTTTTCCCACTTGTTTTTCCCCCTCTGGAAAATTTTAACCAATGGCATTTTCTAAAATGTTGACAATGTTATGTCAATTTCCAAAATGTTAAATCACTGTCAACTTTTTAAAACTCGTAAAGATGCAGTTACTACAAGTAGTAGGTATAAAACTAATAACCTCGGCGTTTTATTTGTGACTTTTTTATTTGCGTTTTTCTTTGCTTTAAACAAAGTAAACACTTTGTTTAAAGCAAAGTGTTTTACTTTAAAACTTTAAGTTATGCTTAACTTACCACTCTATACCTGACAAAAAAAAATTGAAACAAGGAAGTGCATTCTGATATGCCTACAAGAACAACGAAGGTGCTCCGACCAGTTTTCTCAGAACCCTCATAGCTGTTTGGAAGAGTTCCCATTTCTGCTATTTTAAGAAAACATCATGTATCTGCTGCATCAGTGAAATGTGCTGGTGCTATGACAGCACTGAGCTGATAGACTCCAACCTCAACTCATTTTGTGTTTCGTCTCCACAGTGACAACGACTGCAACACCATCTTCTACACAAGCAAATGGTATGAGGGTTTATTCTTGCGTGCATGGGGCCAAATTAGTTTGGCGGAGAAAATAATAAATGATATGCATTGTGCTCATGCAAATCTTAGTATTGTTTCTAAATGTGACTGGGCCTCTTAAAGCTGAAGTATGCAACTTTTATACTTTTTTTTTTTTTTTTTTACATATTTACAAAAAACTGTCATTATGACCTGACAGAATAATAAGAGACAGATGGTGTGTGAAATAATCAAGCTCCTACCAGTGGTTCTACTGCCATCTGAAGAAATGCATTACTTGGTCAGAACCAGCCAATCAGAGTCAGGAAGAAGGTTGTAGCATTTCCAATCATCCTCGTGTACGTGCTGCTTACATCCTCCTTCTTACTATTTGCTAATTACCACAACAGAGCCTGCCATGAATGCTAAGGCTAGTTAGCATGACCACTGATGATGGCAGATCAACAGTTTTTCTGTAATGTTAGGTTGTTCTCCACAATTAGCACAGCTGCTCCAAACCAGCAATCTTGGCAGTCTTATGAGTGCTGTGTGCAAGAGGCAAAGTGTGACTGACAATTCTAAGCCTTTCCTGCTGGCTCTCATTGGTTGTTTCTGCAAATAGCACTAAAAGAACAGGAAGGCCTAGTTTTTTTTCTCCATGTGACAGTTTTGACAAATATGTAAAAAAAAAAAAGAAAAATACCTAATGCAGCTTCAAAATGCATGCAGTTTGACTTAACTCAAGATTTTGTCAATTTGAAAGCAGTTTTTAATCATCATAAAAACCACACTATCATCTTAATGCAGTGAACTCTTCTCTTACCCCCACTCCATCTAACCACTGCAGATCTAGTGGACATCGATGTGGTCATTGTCTCGTTCATCCCAACCTCTAGTTTTTCATCAAGTTTATTCAGCTACGTCAGAAGTCGTCTGCAAAGTCTTACCTTCCCAATATCCATCTCTCAGTCTCTGGGAGTGAAAGAGCTCTACTTCACCACAGGTAAGAGAGTCTGCAGGTTGAGTGGTTTACCTCCTGAGTCAGATTTGATGTGGATGAGAATTAAAAAACTGTCTGTCTGTTTTTGAAACAGCCTGTGATCCAAACTCTGCTAATGGGCTCCAGTGTCAGTGTGAGAGCGGCTTTGCTTGGCCATGTGACACGTGTAACAGCAGCAACTCATGTAACAATCAGACCTGTACATGTTTATATGGACTTCCTCCCAATGACGAGTACTGTCAGCCCGTCTCAAGTAAGAATATTGTTCTCTTACTTTTTAAATTAATATTCTTAGTAGTATTCAATTAGACGTCTGCACAGGATCAGATAACTTGTTTGTTTAGCTGCAAATATGTGATGGGATGCAACATTGGTTGTTTTTATTTAGCCTTATTTCTTTTCTTCGTCTCCAGATGCCACTATATGCGAGCCAACTCCTCCACCTCCCACAGGTATGTGAAAACATGAAGAACTGAGATATAGCTCAACAGTTGAACTTGGCTTAGAGTTTGCTTCAGCAGAATCTGCACATGTTCACTCAGATCTTAAGTAAAATCACGTCATGAAAAGATGGATGTTTCCAATCGTAATCAGATGTTGAAACTACTATAATATGTCATAAAAATGTGTTTTACAAACCAACTTTTGTGTATTTTCTTGGAATTTTATGCAATAGACCAACACAGAGTATTATGTTAATGTAAAGTGAAAATATACATGGTTATTTACAGGTGGAAAGATTTTGTCCTCATGACAACTGTTCACCACCATAAATCTGGTCTTTATGTCAACAGAATGGCTGGACATTGAAGTAGTCCTTGACCTGCAGATCCCTTTGGCCACTGCACCATCAAACTTACTTAATTTGCTCAGGGCGGCTCTGAGAAATGAAACCTTTCCCATTGAGCTCTCACAGACCGTAGATGTTTTAGATGTAGAGTTAACCACAGGTAAGAGCTTTGGCTTAACTAACGATTAATCCGTCTGATTAGGATTGATGCTTTTAAAGTGTTTACTTTCTATCTTTTATAAAACCTTTGCCAGCTTGCTCTCCAAACTCCACCGATGAACTGCTCTGTCAATGTGAAGAGGGTTTTTCTTGGCCATGTGACATGTGCAACAGCAGCAACTCATGCAATGACCCCAGCAATCCGTTCTGTACGTGTTTAAATGGACTTCCTTCCAACAATGACTTCTGCCAGCCAGTCACAAGTAAGGAAACTAATTTTTGTATTACAACTTAAAAAAACTTGCAAGTTCTCCCTGAATGTTCAGTTCTGGCTTTCTGGCTGAAATATAAAAACTGTTTTCTATGTTGCTCCACAGATTCCTCTGTGTGCCCAACTCCTACTCCAGGTATGTAAAACATTTTGGCTGTAATTTAACACATTTGTGATCTGCTCCAGGAACCAGGTTGAACAAAAAAAGAAAGAAAGAAAAATCTACTTGATTTACATCTCAACAAACTCAGGAGAAAACAGGGGGCTTTGATTCAAACATGCTGCTATGTTGCATATAATACATCAGCAGGTTCATTACATCTTTGAACTCAAACCTAGTGATTAAATTGTTTCTGGTCTGCATCATGCTGGAAAGATGAAAATGCAATTTATTCCCATTTACCAACAAATCTTTTGTACATGGATAAAGTAATTTATTTACCTTAATAAATGTCGGACCATCTGAACATGAAAGTTCAACACTCTACAGTCTTTTAGTGCCTAGTTGCAGCAAAATAGTTGTTAGGTGAAATAATTAGAAAACAGGTTGGATTGTAGTCAGTTGCAGCCTCTCTGGGTGCTGATTGCACAGTGGTGTGCTTTTTTAGCAGTGCAAACAGAAGCCAAGATGTACTAACACCATTATTGGGTCAACGTGACTATATTTTTTCACAGTGTTTGTGTCGGTTTTATAAAAGTCATAGATATGTGAATATCAGTTGAGTTGCAAGACTTGCGGCCCGTATGTACGTTCACTGAAACAACAGAGGCATTTGTTCTCCTCTCCCACAGCTACAAGAGCAACATCTCCTTCTGGCCTTGCAGCTGTTTGTGTTGTTCCTGGAATGTGTTCTTAACACATTGTCTGCCATTGTGTGATGTCTAGACAGCTTGTAGACACAACCTGAGAGGAGATAGCAAGAGTTCTACTCCTGGGTTCTTGCAAAGTATTACATTTTATGATCAGAAAGAAATTTGTATCTGGATCATCCCCTTCACAATACAACTACTCAACAAGAGTGTCTTATTCTACAGATTTCTTTGAAGCCAGTACAACACATATTGCTACACTAGATGCTTCCTGCTTCTAAAACCTCTTGACCATGATCGCTACGGCTTTGCATTTTGTTTAACTGAACTTTGTACCTGGATCATTTTGGCTTGATGTTATGTTTTGGTGTCATCTCTTTTTATGGGTTTCTTTTTATGGTGTTTTTCATAGCTCAGTGTTGAGTTCTGTTCTTTGTGTATCACTTCAGATTCTCATTTCAATACTTATCTTGATGGTTTTTTTGGTGAGAATCCTTTTTACCAAACTCCAGTCCTGGAGGGGAGATCTTCTTCAACTTCTGCTTGTGTCCCAAGTCACACACAGGAAACAAACTCAAGTCCTACAGAGCCCTGCAGGTGACCGAGTTATCCGATTCAGTTGTGCTGACACAGTACCACATCTAAAGGCACTGTGTCAGCAGTGAGGATGGGAGTTTTACATCTGTGTTTTAGATCTATATGTGTGCATTCCCATGTTCATTAGTCACCTTTCCTTCGGCTACTCAAAGCTTCTCACCCAGCTGATCTGCATTCCACTGATTGGTTTCGCCGATTAGTTCTCATGTCACTTAGTGACGTCTGTTGTCATCCTTCATGCATGCGTGAGTTCTATCCAGGTAGATTCCCAGATTAACTGTTTGCAATCTTGTACGAATTAGAGAAAAATGTGGGGGTAAATGGAAATGCATTAGGGTCTGAAGAGGTCACATTTCTATAGCCTACAAGTGGCTTATTTGAATAAAATAGAATAAATTTAGAGGTTCCTTGCTCTCTGGTATACATCTGTAAGAATTATTGGAATTTAAATATAAGGCAATTTTTGTGAATGCCCGTGTTTATTAATTTTTTTTGTTTTTTGTTTTCCAGTGACAACGGTCTTAACAACTCCTTCACCAATTTATGGTATGACAACATACAACAAATACGATGATAATAAACAACTATTTTTATTGTCTCTCCCATTTTCCCTCTTTTGCTCAGTGGTCAAAGATTATACGGTTTAGTTTTGTGAATGTTCTATCAACTTCTAAGTAGTCCTAATTCTGTTGGAATTTTCATCTATTTGCCTGAACAGAGATTGATTTAGTCCTGGAAGTACACATCCCGTTCTCAAGCTACCAGTCTGATAGGCTGGACGAGTTTAGAGAGTCTCTGAACAACAAAACCTTCCTCACAACGTTCTCAAAGTCTTTAAACATTACAGAGTTATTCTTGACCACAGGTAAGAGTGTCTGCTTACTAGCTGTATACTTAATCATTATTTGTTTTCCTTATTTTGGTTTGATCCTGAAAATAAAACGGTGTATGATTTTTTTATATATTTTTTTTAACTTTTTAAATATCTTCAACAGTCTGTGATCCAAACTCCACTTATGGATATCAGTGTGTGTGTGAAAGCGACTTTGCTTGGCCATGTGACGTGTGCAGCAGTAACATTTCATGCAGCAGTCAATCCTGTACCTGCATATATGGACTTCCTTCCAACAACGAGTTCTGTGAGCCAATCACAAGTAAGGAAGACAGCTGAAGGAGTAACCTGCACACAGTCAATAAGATTCTGTTTAAACTGATCAGGTTTTATTTTCACTTTGATTATAGTCACACATTTAGAATTTAATCTCTGATTGGTCCACAGATAATTCCATATGCCCAACACCATCACCAACTCCAGGTATGTAAAACATGTAGACTTGTGTTGAGGTACAATATATGCTGACTGTTTCAGAAAGCAGGTTCAGCAAATACTCAACCTCCCAGAATTCTTTGCTGCAGAGGCCAAGAGATGCTAGAAAGACTTTTCATGAAGGGTTCCTTCTCATATCTTTTTAGACTTACAATCATCACTTTTATAAACTAGAAGGATGTTTATGAGGTGCATAAATATAGAGAGAGTGAGTTAATGTATTCATCAATTAGCCTACTAATAACTAACAATAGGAAATTGTTCCTATTTAAAAACAATTTCCTATTGTTTTTAAATAGGAAATCCAGTTAGTAAAACTGCTAACCTCCAAATTACAGCCTGAACGTTTCCCTGCTGTGACTTGACGTCCCCACACTGCCTTACCCAGACAACTCCCTCTCTGTTACTCTAAACACAAAGTGGTTCATTTGCAAAACTCTTAGTTTGATGATATATGTGAGGGATTGTGATGGTATAAAGGCCTGCAGAGACGGGCTTGCAAGCCCTGATGATCCACCTCTGCACAAATACAGGCCAACACTGGAGCTGAGTTTACAGTATTAACAGTTTTCTCAGTGATCTACATTATCATTAAAGGTATGACTGAGTCTCTTCACCTCAACAGAACCTGTTTACATTGAAGTGGTCATTGATGTGAGGATTCCTGATACCATCATTCAACCAAACATACTGGCATCATTCCGAAATGCTCTCCAGAATCAAAGCTACCCTATTCCTCTCACTCAGTTAAACGTTTTAAAAATAGACTTGACCACAGGTAAGACAACCTGGTCCCTTTTGCTTTCTCTGCATAATAACAGCTAATGATCTACAGTAAAGGTGAATGACTTTCCTGCTTTGATGTGTCTTTAACAGTCTGCTCTCCAAACTCCACCGATGGACTGCAGTGCAGATGTGAGGATGGTTTTGCTTTACCATGTGACATGTGCACCAGTAACATCTCCTGCAGTGATGTCTACAGTCAAACGTGCACATGCATAAATGGACTTCCTGCAAACAATGAGTTCTGCCAAGCAGAGACCAGTAAGTTTTCTGTTTAACTTCTTTTCTAACAAATTATTTAAAGGATCTAAATTCCAGTTCAAGATGGTGAGATTTAATCTCTCATTGGTCCACAGATACCTCCATCTGCCCAACACTTACTCCAGGTATGTAAGACACTTAGACTTGAGTTGATATTTGTTCTTGCCTGTTTCAGAAAATGGGTTCAGCAAACCCTGAATCTCCCAGAATTCTGTGCTGCAGAGACCAAGAGATGCATAACAGGGAAGCATAGAATGTAGTATTCCAATGTTGACATTTGCAGAGATCCTACAATCTGAAACAACCAATCAGAGCCAGGAGGAGGCTCTGAGTGGTGTCAGTCATGTTCGTGTACATGCTGCTCGATGCGCTAGTGGTAGAGAAGCAACTTACCATTAGAGGGAAACCGTTTATCTGCCACCAGTGGTGGCCATGCTAACAAGCCTGAGCATTGATGGCAGACTATGTTTGGGGAACTAGCTTTAGTGTAGCAGAGAGAAATTAGAAGGGTGTGAATAGCGTGTACATGAGCTTGATTGATGGTGTTAATCAATCAGAGACCTCCTGACTCTGATTGGATGTTTCTGACCAAGCAGTGTATTTCTTTAGAGAAGGCAGAAGAGGCCTTTTTTCACAACTTACTTTTCTTATAATAGGTAAGTTATAAGAAAGATATAACTTTCTTATAAAAGATAGATCTTTTATAAGAAAGTTATACCAACTGTCACAACATAGTGACAGTCTTAACAAATATGTTAAAAGTATATTTTTATCAAAGTTATGTAAAGCAGCTTTAGATATTTTAAGTTACATTTCTGATGGCCCTAATTTATTTTACACACAAGAATTAATCAAAGTTCCTTTTGTTCACAGACATAACAACAACCGTCCCAACAACAGCTCCTCTACCAACCTATGGTATGATACAAGCCAAACTGTAGAATGAAAGGTGGAAGCATGCAAAGAGTTCAGTCTGGAAAGTCTGCAAGGATTGTAGATACATTAAGGATGTAGAAATTATAAATTGTAAATGATCAGTATGATAATTTACATCTTCTGTTCACTTTACTAGAAACCGATCTGGTTCTTGAAGTGCACATCCCAGTGAACAGTTTACAAGACGACACACTCGATACATTCAGAAGGAATCTGCTAAATAAAACCTTCCCTGATGTACAACAGGCTTTCACAGTGTTAGACATAACACTGACCTCAGGTAAAACTTTTAGCTAAATTAATTAAAATATCATGCTTTTTTTGGAAAATTTGTAATTTTTTATCTTTTTTAAATATATTTAACAGTCTGTGATCCAAACTCCACTTATGGATATCAGTGTGTGTGTGAAAGCGGCTTTGCTTGGCCATGTGACGTGTGCAGCAGTAACATTTCATGCAGCAGTCAATCCTGTACCTGCATATATGGACTTCCTTCCAACAACGAGTTCTGTGAGCCAATCACAAGTAAGGAAGACAGCTGAAGGAGTAACCTGCACAGAGTCAATAAGATTCTGTTTAAACTGATCAGGTTTTATTTTCACTTTGATTATAGTCACACATTTAGAATTTAATCTCTGATTGGTCCACAGATAATTCCACATGCCCAACACCATCACCAACTCCAGGTATGTAAAACATGTAGACTTGTGTTGAGGTACAATATATGCTGACTGTTCAGAAAGCAGGTTCAGCAAATACTCAACCTCCCAGAATTCTTTGCTACATAGATGGGCAAGGAGAATGTAGGATGGGATGATGTGCAAAGCAGAAAAGAATCTTACTGAAGTAAATAAGAAAGCTGAGCAGTATCTAATTAATGACAAACAATCCTCTGGAACGATGAAGGTGGCCACATAATGCTGGGTCCAAAGTCTCAGCACCTAACAATAAGTCAGAGGTTAGTGATGAGGTCACACATTCATTCAACAACCAACACCTGAAAAGAGTTAAGCAAGTTAAATGGCCAAGCAGGGCGGAGTGGAAGTGCATCAAAACTACATAACTGCTCTATTTATAGTGGGTATTGTAGCTTCCTCATCCATTTCCATACTTTGAAAATGATTGATAAGAATTTAACATTTTAGAAATACAATAAAGACACAGATGTGTCCTCATACAACTTTTATTACCAATACCTTAAATCAACAGTCATTACATTACAGATCAGTTACTGTAATGCACAACTCGAAAGAGACACCGATGTTAGATAAACGATAAAGCTTCCTTCTGTTCTGAAAGTCTTGTTCATCAAACCTCTCATAACCTGCATTATCATCATTACAGTCAGATCTATGAATGTCATTTTCAGAAGCTGGAAAACTTCCTTTAAAAAAAAAAAAAAAAAGTTTTCCTGTGTTTGCTTTCTTACTCCTAATCTTTTTTAGTACTACTTATCTTTCTCTTGTTGTTTGGTTATCTACATCTTCCAACCTGAAAAGTGTTAACAACGACAGCATTTTTTCTTTAGCAATAATATGATTTCGTTCAACTTTGAATAAACTCCTAATACATCAGCACACCTTCAGCACACAACAGGTCAAATTATTCATTTACTTTCTAACAGTGCATGTTATTGTAAACATTACCAAAGCTTCATTTTAAAATGAATTGTTTTTGTAAATCTGACACAGCAAAATTCTGTGAAAAAATAACATTTACAGCTGACATAAAGTGCTGTGCATGAAAAAAAGAACTCTTCTTACTCCTTCCTCCACCTAACCACCGCAGATCTAGTGGACATCGATGTGGGAATCGTTGTGTTCATCCCAACCTTTAGAGTTCCGTCAAGCATATTCAGCTACGTCAGAAGTCGTCTGCAAAGTCTTACCTTCCCAATCCCCATCTCTCAGTCTCTGGGACTGAAAGAGATCTACTTCACCACAGGTAAGAGAGTCTGCAGGTTGAGTGTCAGATTTGATACAAATAAGATAAGAGTAGATTAAAATAATATATATATATATATATATATCTGTTTTTGAAACAGCCTGTGATCCAAACTCTGCTAATGGGCTCCAGTGTCAGTGTGAAAGCGGCTTTGCTTGGCCATGTGACACGTGTAACAGCAGCAACTCATGCAGCAATGAAACTTGTACATGTTTATATGGACTTCCTCCCAATGATGAGTTCTGTCAGCCCGTCTCAAGTAAGAATCATGTTTTGTTGCTTTCTAGATAAAGGTTGTTAGTAGTACTAATCCATTAGACGTCTGTACATGATCATACAGACCTTATTTGTCCAACTGCAAATATGTATTTAAGTTTCTAGACCTGAAGTTCCAACATTTTGTTTTATTGCCCCTCTCGCTCCACAGATGCCACTACATGCCCACCTCCTCCACCCTCCACAGGTATGTAGACCATGGAGATCTGAGGTGTAGTTCAACAGTTTGCTTTAGCAAACAGGTTGAAGTTCTTAGGTAAAAACCTGCACATTTTCACCCAGAGTTTTGGTAAAGTCATGCCATGGAAAAGGAACGTTTTACATCCCGTAGCCATACATGAGAGTTCAGTATTCGCTTAAATTAGATGTCAGGGTTTTGCAGATAAAACCTTGACAGTCATTTCTAGAGAGAAATGAGTGTCAGCTATTGAAGGCCTCCCAGTAACCAGGGTAGGTTGAGTTCACACAATCACCATGACACCATAATCACAGTAATGAGCTCAGAGTTTAAGTTATCTTGTAGTATGTCATGTACAACAAGGTATGCTGAAATTTCTGATTCCAACCACAGCTGCCCCGACAACTACCACGGTTGCCCCGACAACCACCACGGTTGCCCCGACAACCACCACGGTTGCCCCAACAACCACCACGGTTGCCCCGACAACCACCACGGTTGCCCCGACAACCAACCCGTTACAAGGTATGACAAAACCCGTTTAAGTTTGTGCACTCATTTGTGGAATGACAAATGAGTGCACAAAAGCCTTTTTGTTCAGTTAGCTGAACAGAAATGGATAATTGTTGTATACATCAGCCTGTGTTTGTTTTAGGACACCCTATTAATGATCAAATTGCTTCTGAAATTGATCAAATTTCAGAAGCAATTTGATCATTGATAAGTAGTTCCAGGAACTACCTCCAGGAGTAATGAACATGAAGTCCCTGAGCGCTTCTTAAACTTGAAGTGTGGAAATGTGATTCATTCAAGGAGGCTATAAGCTGTTAGTGAAACCATTTATGTGGTCTTTCTGAGCCCTTGATGTCCACACAGTCAGCATCAAGGAAGGACATACAGTCATGTGGCTGGTCATATAATTTCCGCTATAAGTACTTAAACCTCTCATCTGACCCTCTCTTCCTCTTCATCATCCAGATCGTTTAGCTGCTGTTCAAGCTGCTTTCCTTTTGTCTGCTCCTCTTGTTGGTTCCCTACCGTCTTTTAACAAACTCTCCCTCTTTCTAGACCAGTAAATATTTATTTTCCTACATTCTGCTTTTATATATCTGCCTCAAAAGGACCAATTTTATGTGTCTAAGAGTAACTTAGAGAGTTTCAAAGCCAAACCTTTGGGTCAGCTGGAATGAACTAAGTTACTGTTCTTGACTAGTTTGTCCAACATACATTAATGTAGCTGTTATTCAACTACTGGTTTGCTGTAAGCTTGTTGCAGAAGTAGATGTTTTTATATATGTCTAATGTTTGGAATATGTTTTTATTCTGATGTCCAGCCAGTGGCGCAACTACACATTATTCAGGTGGATGCGAAAACATAAATCGGCGCCTCCCCAATCCCCCTCTCCCCAGAAGGAAAGGTTGAAGGAGCGTGGAGAACACCCCCCCCCCTCCCCCACCGAGACGACGTTACGTGAAGGATAAAACTCGCTACATTTACCTCGTAAAGTGCACGAGGTGAAGGAGCGTAAGGCGCTGAAGTGTATGGGAAAACATAATCGGCGTGCCACCCCCTCCAGACGGGGTTTTGACGCCCCCTCTGGTGCTGCGTCCCTTTGCGTTGCATATGCTGCATACCCACTTTTTGCGCCACTGTGTCCAGCAGATAAATCCTAAAATGAGACACATTTTAGGATTTTTTTTTTGCTCTTGCATCCCAGTTATGAAAATCTAAGCATTTTAAAAATGTTTTCATTAACTTTATTTTGTAGGAAAATCTGGAAAAGGGGTTAATGATCACCACATCAGACTGCTTTTGCTAAAAGTGTTAACAGTTTTCAAAATATGACCACAGATTGGACAAACTCCTGGTAGGGACGCCTTGATCTTTGGGTTTGTGTTTAGTTCTCTTCTATTTCTATTTAGATAATTTTGGTTACTACTGTATTATCAGAAAGTTAGATAATTTCTTAGGCTACATCCATTTTTTATTACCCATATGCAACCCCTCAACCCCCACTACTGGGGGAGGTAAACAATGGCTGAAAATTATAAGTATGATATCATAAAAGAAGTTTGAGTCAGTGATCCACCAGTCTTGGCTCTGACTATACAACCAAAACAGACGTCTCTACAGAAGCTGCAGTCAAGGCTCCAAGCGACCATGTTGCATTAGTTGTGTTTTCTTTTTATTAGCTTCCTCAGTCTTGTTACTGTCCCATCCTGCCATTTATGAGTAACTTTAAAATGGATCCACAGGCGGCTCCATTATTACTTCTGTAAACAGTCTTGTGCTGTGTCACGTCAACATTCTTCTTCTGCGCTTCGGGGACGAAGGTGTTCACACAGACTACGGTCAACCTTAATGTGAAGCACCTCCAGTCACCTTCATCACTTTTGTATCACAATCTGAATAGTAAAGTTGACCAGTGATTACTTGAAATAATGGCCTTTTTTATATTCCTCCTAATGAATTTTCCTGTTTATTTCTGCAAATCCAGACACTGAAGTGACCCTTGTCTTCCGGATCCCAGCCTCCATTGTGCAAAACTATACACTTCCACTACTCAAAAGCAAATTGGACAACTTTACCAGCTATGTAACTCTCCCAGCATTTTTGAAAGTAAAAACAATAGACTTGACTACAGGTAAAATAAATAAATAAATAAATAAATAAATAAATAAATAAATAAATAAAAAATAAAAATAAAAATGAAATAAAATATTGCATGACTTTCATCTTTTCAAATACCTTTTAAAGTCTGCTCTCCAAACCCACCGGTGCAACTGCGCTGTCAATGTGAGGACCGTTTTGCTTGGCCATGTGATCTGTGCAACACCAGCAATTCATGCAATGACATCACCAGTCAGCAGTGTACATGCAGAGATAGACTCTCTTCTATCAACCAATATTGTCAACCAAACCTAAGTAAGCATGTTGTTCTGTGACTTTAAAAAGGTGATATTATCAGCAACTAAGGTAATTAATTAAAAAAGAGGCACATTAATCAAAACTTTTGCTTGTGTTTGCTTCACAGGTAGCACACCATGTCCTGGTAGGGAAAAACATTTTCAGTTTTCCTCTTCATGTGTTTAGTTGTATAGATCTAAAACATCTGAGAACCTTAATCTGGTCTTTTTATTTGTTTCTGGTGATTTCAACCACAGCACCACCACCAACCACAACACCACCGCCAACCACAACCACAACACCACCGCCAACCACAACACCACCGCCAACCACAGCACCACCACCAACCACAACAACGCCGAAACCTACACCATCACCTAAAAATATACCAGGCATCATTACCATGGACATGACGTTTGAAGAGTCATTCAATGACAAGAACAATCAAGTTTACAAAACCATTGAGAACGCTGTAAGTCATCATTACTTAATGTGCCTGTCTTTCTGCTCTCATAAGAAAGCACTGAAATTATTTATTTCTTGTCTTTTGCCATTCTCTCAAACAGATTTTAAGCAAGTGTACAAGTATTTTACAAACAAACTGTACAATCAAAAATCTGTCTTTCAAGTAAGTGAAATTTTATTTTCATTTTTGCTGTGAATTCTGTTAAATTGTCTATCAACATCAAACAGAAGAATAATTTGCATTTACAATAAATAAAAGTTTACTGAAACATTATTATTTTATTTTTACTTTGTGGTTACACCATCGGATCCTTTAGTTCAGTTTCATTTTCATGGCGGCACAAGTGCTGCTAGCTGCTTGTGCCATCAGTACCCATTGGACTCAGCTATAGACAAATACGCATTTCATGTATTTTTACTTAAAGTCAGACCATATAATGTTAAAGAAGAGTGACAGATGGAGGAGTAAATATGAGGGGAGATGAAATTCAGCAGCATATGAACTTAAATTATTGCAATAATTTGTGGTGCCCTCCTCTTTGTCTTATTCGGTAATGTGTTTCAAACAAATTGTAATATCAAAGAAATATAGTTTTAAAAAAGTAGCTTCTTTTACTCAGGAAATAATAAACTACAAACATATTTTCTTTATTTTACAACCAGGTCTATAGAAACATCAAGAAATAACTTAAATAGAACATTTCTGACAGCATGAAGTTGGCAAAAGAAAGCAACATAATATTCCCCAATTTAAAAAAAGTTGATGATAAAATAAACTAACTCACTGACATCTAGCTGTCTGGAAAGAGAATCTAGAAAACATCTATAGAGCTATGAAATATGAAACCAACATTTTGCAAGATGTGAATCCTGGCATATGAGAAATAAAACAAAATAGCTTTTCAGAAAAACTAATCATGCAGCCACTCAAACATGGTGTTAGTGTGATTATCTGAGTCTGCGTTTCTTCATCAGAAGATGCAATCCTAAGAAATAAAAAGACCCCCTGGGTTTTCCTGTACCATTTATGTAAATGTTTATCTGCAACAACTTTGCAGATAATAAATAATATATTCTCAGTAGAATTAAATATTTCTCTTTGTGATTTAAATTAAGATTTTTTTTTCTTCTTTCATTGCAGGGCTGGGAGTACAATTGCTAATTATGAGCTTAATGTTTTTTCATCTGAAACACCAACAGAGATCAAAGTTCAGATAACAAAAAATGAAATATTATCAGAAGTGGCATCAAAATATCCCATCAGCATTGTCAGTAAGTAGACCTTAGCAAGGCTGGGGAATATTTAAAATGTGTATTTAATATGAAAATGTTTAAGGATAACTGATTAATGATGTTCGTATCTCTATGAAGGTTCGAAGCAGTTGTCGGTTGATGGAGCTCTACTCTATGTCGGGGACAGTATAAAAGTGACATGTGACCCATCTGACCTCACCTCAACTGGCCTCACCATTGGAAAATATTCAATATTGTGGACACGAAAAGAAGGAGCCCTTCCCAAACAATCTACTTTTGATCAATATTCAATCCTAATCCCTAAATTTTCTAAATATGATGATGGTAAGAAAGAAATCTAGTAGTTGGTAGCTAACAGAAAAATCAAAAACTGGAAATAATGTCAAGACATTTTGCTAATGTCCTTCTGCACTGTATTCAAAAAGAATATGGTTTAGTTGAGGATATTTGTTAAACTGCATTTTTCCCCCATCTCCTTCTACACTTTACCCATAAATACAAGAACTCAAGGAGAAAAGGGAAAATAGTGTATCTTACACAGCAAGAAACAGCAAATATTGTTTATATTGTGTTATTCAATAAGCATAGATAACAATGGATCCTGAGTGATGTGTGGTATGACTTGATTTAAAAGAGGTCAGAAAATAAGGGAAAACTTTTGTTGTTGCGCAACACCCCCCCCCCCTTCTCTCTCTCTCTACTTCCCCTTCTGAGAGGAGGGAGATGTGCTACCAGCTCTCCGTCTAATGGGTGAATTGAGTTTCCTAAATCTGCCGGGATTTACCCTATCCAGAACTGAAGTAAACTCTGATTAAGCTGGCGTCGAGAAAGACTAGCCTGGTTTCTGACGACCTCCATCCAGATGTCCCACCCTTCTTCACCCTGTGAATTAGCCAGACTGAACAGCCTGCAGCTAACTAGTTTCACAGAGCACACCTGTTAACATTCACTCTTTCTCTTTATTACAACTTGCACTTGTTACTGAACCAGGTTGGTTTTAGTGACTCGGGCGAGTCCCAAGGGTGTTGTTTCAGTTTTGGGCCAAAAGCAACCTATAAAACATTTTCCACTTTTTCCTCCCAGAATCAAACTTCATAGCTATTTTACAACCATCAAAGAACTTTAAGGTGACTCATTAACACAACATCCACAACATCTTTTAGATTTTCTTAATGCTAATTATTTTATTAGTAAGGTAATATTGCAAGGGTCAGTACAGCTTAATTCAGTAGCAGAAATAATCAAACAAGTAAAATCAATCATCTAGGCTATCTTTCCCTAAACCTGACACTGAGAATTAAAAAAGGGAAACTTTGAAAGAGACGGACAGAGTTTGGCATCTTGAACCCCAGAACTGGCCTGATGATGAAGAAGGTGTTGCAGCAGCAAGAGGCTCACAGCGCTGATAGATGAGGGCAGACGTCCCTACAGGTCTGATGAGCTTCCATCTCTGCTTTGATGCTGAGGTCACACAGGACTCGGGTGCTGGCAGGAAGAGTACTGACTTAGAGCGGCAGGTCTCGGGCCTCAGGATGGTTTCCTCTTGTGCGTAGCGGTCCTCAGCTTCTTGTCTTGCAGCTCTGTAGCTCCCTTCTCCTCGTGTCACGATCTTTCTGGTCCACTGAGATGTAGACGAACTGGTCTCAGGGAAGGAACGCACCAGTTCTTCATCTTTGCCTTTGATTTTTGGCTTTATCTTCATCTTTGCCTTGCTCTTTGGGGTCCGAACCCAGCTGATGAGAGAAGTGCAATTTGAAGCCACATGTTGCAGGGCTAACGGATTGGTTCCCATGTGCAGAACAGTCTTCGGCTCTGTGGCTCCGGCTCTTCTTCAGCTGCAGAGTTCTTTGTCCATCTTGGTCTTGGCTTGAAGCTGCCTGAAGGATCCAACCCTAGATTCCTCTTTTGCACCCACCTTACAAAGGATGTATCCACCCTTTTGGTGCGTTTGCATTGGCTAGCTTTGTTGCTATGCCTGTCTCATTGACTGACTACTTGGACAGATGATCTCATATCCATCACCATCTTGGAGACATGATGTCTGTTCTAATGACCCTGGTTTGCTCAACAGTCCTACGTCTGTTGCCTGCCCAACATTTTCTTAGGAAGGTTTAAGTTCAACAATAAGGCCTTGGTCACCTCTGCTCTCCCATCAGTTCCTCTTTTCCCCTGACCTTTCACCTACCATCTACCTCCAACACAACATCAGTGACATTTAATTACAGTTACACATTTTACACCATTTCAAGTACAATGTCAAAATCACATTTATAACCTTTTAGTTTCTCTGATTTAGCATTCACTTATAATTTTATAATAACCATTACTTATTAGTTACTCTTATTATAATCATAATGTGAGTTATTACAGACATTTCTGAAAAGAAACCAAGAATAATCCATTATTCTAATTATTTGATACCAAGTTACAGTTACTTGTCTCACCTGTAAGTACTTCCACAAGTGTAAAAGTAAGTGTAAATATTCCTATAATCAAACCAATATCAACCATTGGTTAAACCAATATTAATTATTGGTTTAATCATAAGTTATTATTATTCATTTAAGTATTTTACTCTGGGTTTTATCCAATTACTCAAAATGTTTAGATTTTATTCTTTAAACCTTTAATGATTTGAAATAAGGAATATTCTGAACTATTTTTATACACATGCAGGCTGGAAATTTACCTCCTCTTTCTTCAGGAAACCTGCTCTTCCTGTTTCACTCTCTCTTTCTGCCTGACTGTGATTTTTTATGATTAAATAGAAAAAAGTAGAATTAAAACAAAGTTTGCAGGACAATAACAACCAGATTAATTGTATTACCATCTGACTCTACAGTTGGGTCCTGATGTCACCTGTGTAATCAGTTTTAAAGATAACTTTATTTATTGTTACTATTAAACTAAAATCTCCAGCATGGGGAAGTGGGATGATCTCGGCTTTTCTCGACACTTTATTAAACACAAAAACATGAAATGCATGTAAAAAAATGAATAATAATAAACCAGATAATGTTTCTAAAGTAACTGCTGTTACTTTACCATCAGCTATTATTTTACTGCCATATTCAGTCTTTTTTAAAGAAAGATTTTCATTGCGTTTTTAATATTTCTGAAAATTCAGCTTGTACATTTTTTTCTGTGCAGTGCCATGTGAGACTATCTGTTATGAATTGGTGTTATGTATTGAAACTCATTTGGATTGGCTGCTCCTCTCCTACAGCTGTGCTGCAGTGTAGCAGGTCATTGACTTGCTGTGAATTTAGTAACATCTAGCATTTCTTTACTTCACATATGGTGGAAACATGGTTGGAGAGTGTTGGAGCCAAACTACATTTGTAAACCTTAATTGTTTTTTTCTGGTTTTTCTATTTTGCCTAACTTAGTCAAATGGATAAATTAAATATTTTCTACTTCAGAGTGAAACACATCCCAACTGTCCTGTGAATATTTCACCTTTTCTGTTTCTTGTTATCGCTGTTTGGGAGTTTTGTTTGACTGACTTTAATGTTGCCACATTATGGCACTGAAACTCAGGAATAGATGTGCTATTGATCAGGCTGTTCCTAAAGATCTAATTAAAATGAAATTCACTGTATTGCAAAAAAAAAAAGTTTTCTAATAGATTTTCTATAGGGAAAAAAAACTGTATGTTTTCCTTTTTATTTATAAAGTGAATTTTTAACCTTGTGCAGCATCTTAAAATATATAAATTCAACCAGTTATTATGAATTGTTAACACAACAACTAAACCCTGAAAGTTATTTGCACCGTCAAATCTTTTGGTATAACATGCATTATCAAGCTATTTCTTCACTAGCTTTTTATTTTTTTACCCAGGGAAGTATGAATGTACGATAACCTGGGGAGCCGGTTCAACTTTCAGACAGTCGGGGCAGCTGACTTCCAAAACACTCCCTCTGATCACTGTGAGTCCAATCAAAGACACGGTGAAGTGTTCTGGGTCAAAGGAACTGACCTGCAGAGTAGATGAATTGACAGCTACATTGATCAGTCCAAGTGGTGAAGGTAAATGTGACACAAAGACATGACCTAAATATTTCTGACACTCTTCGCAATACAAAAAAATAATAATTTGGGAATTTATCATTTTTTATTTACTGATAGATTTAGGTGTAACGTCCTACATCTACACACCGTCTCCGTCATGTGCTGATGGTGATGTGTTGACGTTCAAATGTAAATTGAAAGAAAGGGACAGTGCAAAAGAAATCACACTGGTACTAACCACAAAGCGTGAGTATGAAATGAACAAGAGTATTTCCCTGCAGTTTTTAAAAAAATATCTAGTTGTTTACTAGCACTCATAAATTATGACCTTAAACATGTTTTCTTTTTCTCCAGTGGAGTTTGACTGCACAAGTGACATATATGGAAATGCAGTGATTGGGGATATTGGTGTTGGAAAATGTGACCCTAACTATGAAGGAGAAAAAACAGCAGTTTGTCAGCCAGATGGTAAATATGGAGATGAACAAGACTACTGTGTCCTACAAGTGATTGTGGAGCTGCTTGGTCGATCACAGGTGATCTATTTTTTTTTTTAGCATTTTCTGAGCTTTTCAATACAGACACTTGTGTTGCTTTATTTTGAACCTACTAGATTTTTTAAAAATGTAAGCTATTTTTAAAAAAAAAGTCACATAGGAAGCATGTCTATGTGCTGTCGTCAGTCACAACACATCACTTGACACCTAGTCAAGGACAGCTTAAGAGGGTCTGAAGCTGAGCCATGCTATAATGAATAATAACTTATTATAAACATAAATAAGTGCTAAAAGAATGCAGATTCTGTTTTCAGTTTTGTCAAATAATAACAGGTATAGTACATTCATTCCAGAGACATTATACATAAACAACTGGATAGAGCAATGTGATCATAATTAACAAGAAAATCTCTTTTCTTTCTTCTGACAGAACTTGAATGAGTTGACTATTCCAGTATTCTTGGAGGATCTCAAAAATGCGACTGTACAGAATAATAATGATATCATTGAGTCTCCGGCGACCCTCATTGCCATGATTAAGATCTTTGAAAATGTCGCCAACACATCCACATCTTTACAAATCAATCTAGAGAGAAATTCCACGAGGGTAGGTACATGTGTACATTTAAACATCATTACATCCAAAGAGGTGATGTGCTTCAGGTATGAGTTCATACGCCCGCAACACAGCACAGCATAGAGTCAAGACACAATTTATTAACAAAGCCAACACACAAACCGAGCTACAAGAACACATCATTCAAATGTCCTAATTAAACCTCCAAACTCACTCAAACTGTGCCAAAGTGCTCAGAAAAAAAAAAAAAAAAACATAATTCCCACAAAAACCATAATTACTGCAATAAAACCAACGGGACACGACGAGTTGTGAAAGGCAGACTTTGTTTAAATGAGCCCCCATAAATATGCTACGTCCAAAAAGGACACAGCTTGTTTGAGGACACAGACTCATAAATAAGGGTTCAAATATTCGTCATTGAAACCAGGACAACCAGTCCCACTAGACCAAAATCACAATGAAAGAGCAAACAAAGCCTAAGAGAAGCTGCCACATGTCAGGCTGCATGTCAGGTGGGACGCATCCTGGCAGTGGTGGAGAGAGCGGAAGAGAGAGAGATGAAAGGCGGGTGTCTACACACTCCCTAAGGTCAGCCTGTTTATAGGGGGGCGACAGCAGCGCCACAGCTTTAAACAACCAGATATTAATTACAAAACATATAGAATTAGCAAAACCTCAAAAAATGTTAAAAGGGCAGAGAATATCATCTAACCAAAGTCTATAAACAATAAATAGGCAAACATAGCTAGAATGTGCCCAAAGCACATAACATGCGTACTCACAATTCACAGGCTGTGATAAAATATTAATACATGCTGTTTGTGTTGCTTTTTTATTTTTTTCCGTAGAACTTCCTAGAAAGTGCCGGCCTTCTCACGATTGACGATGCGAGGGGGTCTTGGGGTTTTCTAAATTACAACGACACCAGAAATACAACAGAAGATGAACTATTGAGAAACAGTTCCAGCGCCTCTTTCTTGAATGTTTTTGAAAACTTACCAAAATTTATTGGCAATGATTCACTGGACATCAACACAGATTTCATTATCCTGAACAAAACCAGGCTCACAGACCCTTTCAACAGTGTATATAACTCCTCAGTGGAAATAGAAATACCACAGGTTGGTGGAGAAGAAAAATTCATCACCATAATCATTTTTGCTTCAATGTACAATGTGCTTCCTGGAAGAGATGAGCTCAACACCTCCTCCAGCCGCGTCCATGGAAGGGTTGCCCTCGTTAGTCCTGAAGTTGAAATCTCAAATATTTCATTGACATTTGATGTCATAAATTACACAAATTTCACCATAGGAAACCCTAAATGTGTCTTTTGGGATTTCAATCTCTATGACGGTCTTGGAGGATGGAGCGATGATGGCTGCTCGTTAGTTTACTTTGAAAATGAGACGGTCAGCTGCAACTGCAACCACACCACCTCCTTCTCCATCCTTATGTCACCCGACAGCCCCAGAAGCCTTATTCTGGACTTCATCACCTACATTGGAGTTGGAATTTCTATGGCCTGCCTGGTCATTTGTCTCATCATTGAAGCAGTCATATGGAGAAAAATCAACAAGAACGCAACGTCGTACTTGCGTCACGTCTCCATCGTCAACATCGCTCTGTCCCTACTGATTGCAAACATTTGGTTCATTATTGGAGCGGCCATTTCAGATGCAGACCAGAAGAACCCTCCGGCCTGCACAGCCGCAACCTTCTTCATCCACTTTTTCTACCTGGCTCTGTTCTTCTGGATGTTAGCGTCAGCTCTGCTGTTGCTCTACCGGACTCTCAGTGTCTTTGATGGAGGGCTATCTAAGCTAGCCATGCTGATCATTGGATTCTCTTTGGGATATGGAGCGCCGCTGATCATTGCAACTATAACTATAGCTTCAACTGCTCCCTCAAATCAGTACATCAGAGAAAATGTCGTCTGTTGGCTCAACTGGTACGAGTCCAAAGCTCTGCTGGCCTTCGTGATCCCTGCGCTTATGATAGTGGGGATAAACTTTATCATCTTAATTGTGGTGCTGTACAAAATATTGAGAAGAAGAGTTGGAGGAAACGCATCCCAAACAGGAGAGAAGCACGTTCTGTATGTGATTGCCAGGAGTTTGGCTGTGCTCACGCCGTTTTTCGGACTGACTTGGGGTTTGGGAATCGGAACCATGGTTGACCCCAAAAACTTTGGAATCCATGTTGCCTTTGCTTTCTTCAATTCATTGCAGGTAGGAATTTTACTTTTATGCCCACTAATCTGTTGCTCTATGTTCTGGTGTTTGAGTGTTTGATGCTGCAAAATGATGGACTGAAAAGATGAAACTATAAAATTATTCCTTTGTGTTTCTAAAGGGTTTCTTTATTCTGGTGTTCGGAACACTGTTGGACAAAAAGGTGAGTCTGTCACTTAAAAAGAAGCTGACAATGGAGGACTCTCACATGTCATGACGTATTAGCAGCAGTGTGCTAACCTTTGAGAATTAACCTTTCAGGTGTGGTCGGCAATGAACATACGATCACTGACGTCACAGGGTAGAACACAGGTAAGAAAAGTTTCTCTGTTAAAGGTTTTGTTCTCATTTGTATTGTTCCATTCGGTCTCTTTTACAAATTCTTACTGAGAATTTGATTCTGCTTTCAGAGCACCAGTGCTGGAACATCATCTAGTGGACTGAGCAACTTGTTCCGGAGAATAAAAATAAACAGAGGTATGTTACTTCATTAAAAGTATGTCTTTTAAGAGAACTTCAGAGAAACAATCCACCTCTTGACCGATTAGCAAGAGATTTTGATCTTTTTTTGTCACTTTTTGTGCAGCAAGTATAATAAAATCAATTTGCTTTAATATGAGCGGCTTGGAAAATTTTTTATTTTTATCTTAACAAATCTGGGTTTCCCTACAATATTCTTAATAGTTGGGATTATTTTACTTAAAGCACCAAATGGCAAAAAACTGACATCAAATCATCGCCTTCTCTGTCATTAACTTTTTTCTGTTTTTTGCAATGGAGAGTATAAAAAAATGAGAATATGCTTAAGATTTTATAAACATGTGGATATTTAAATATGTGTGTGTATTTGTGTGTTACAGGCTCCAGAAGTGGGTACCATGTGTCTTCTTCTGGACAAAGTGACTCATTCAACACTTAACACGTGCAGGAAACCATGTCCATATAAGGAAAACAACAAACAAATCAGTTTTTTCTCTCATTACTACAGCCTCTTTAAGTTATAACGTTATAATCTGAAAGAGTCCCGCTGCATTCTCTTTTTTGAAAAATGAAGCAAGCATTAATTCTGCCATCTTGTAAAGGCAGCATTTTAGAAAGCTTTTCAAAGGTGTACAATTCAGAAAAACTAAGTACTTTAATATTACACAGCCTTTATTTTGGGGAAATACACAATAATGTAATACTACATAATAAATTTATTTTAAAGAATATATTTTATTTTCCTTAGATGGAATGGCATTTTAAGTCAGTTTAAAGAAAAAGTATTTTGTTTGTCTTTAGTTTACATGTCATGTTTTATATCCACAAAAACTTTGGAAAATATCTTTATTTTTTATTAAACTGTGTAACTTGCAGCAAAAGAGATCAAATTCCCCAAATCCCCCAAATGGAATAGAGTTATTGATTGATGGTAATCATTGTATTGAACAGCTACTTCACTTTGTTTGCATAACTTCTCTGTAATCGGAGTGTTATGTAATGACAGCCGTTTATAGAAGCATTTTCTACTGTTTTGGTTTGTTTTTTGTTGGAAAAGCAGAATATATATATATATATATATATATATATATATATATATATATATATATATATATATATATATATATATATAGAGAGAGAGAGAGAGAGAGAGAGTCTTGTTAGAGTTAAGGTTAATACTATTTACATGTAAAACCTTGTACTGAGTCTTTCTAGGTCACAACAGGATACTAAAAATGTGTAACATTTACTGTTCCTACATTTGCATTAGATCTGCAAAGACTTTAATTCAAGAAGAATTCTGGGATTTCTGTTTTTGTGTTGAGCCCTTAAAGGACACAACACAAAACTCAGCTTTAGACACAAACACTCTCAAAGCTAAATCTCACCCCTCTAAGAAGTCCTCTTTAAACCTTTGGCAGCTGAACTCCAGAGAGCCTGTGAGATTTGAAGATGTGGAAACATGTTCATCTTGCTTTACAATCAGTGCTTTGACTGTAAAGTAAGGCAGACATGTTTCCTTTGTATCTCAATAAAATGTTCACAAGCCTATGATTAAGATTTTGTTTGGAAATTATTATTTTTGTGTGCAGTCACTTTCTTAAATATATCACATTATTTTGAAAAATAATTTAGCAATTACTTCACATCATTGAATATTATAATAAAGTCTTGTGACAGAACCTCTTCTTTTGACTGAGGTTGGTCATTATCCATCAATCAAGTTTATTTGTGTGACTTTAGAACAAAGCAGTTCAAAGTGCTTTACATCATTAAAACTGAAAAATAAAAAGTCTTAAAAGCATCATGCAGTCACTGAGAAACCAGTAACAAGGTTGATACAACATCAGGTCCTTAATGTATTGCGGTGCTAAACCGTTCAGTGATTCATAAACTAACATCATTATTTTAAAGTCTGTTCTCTGAGCTACATGGAGCCAAGGAAAGACTGTAGAACTGGGGGATGGGCTCTATTTTCCTGGTTTTAGTCAGAACGCCAGCAGAAGCGTTCTGGATCAGCTGCACTGTCTGATATTTGTTTAGGCAGACCTGTGGAGACACTATTGCAGCAATGCAACTAAAGATAAACACATTGATTAGTTTCTCTAGATCTTGCTGAGACATTAGTCCTTTAATCCTAGAAATCTTCTTTAGGTGATAGAAGGCTGACTTTGTAACTCTCTTTATGTGGCTCTAGAGGTATTATATTGCAGTGTGTGTAATACTACACACTGAATAATTGTATGCAATAGATGATAGATACTCATTCCCTGCCAGGCATATGTTCTGGTAATTTTTCTGTTTGTCACTAGGTGGCAGCAAATACTTTGGCATTTTAAAATTTTGGAAATCTCTACTGCAGTTTGGCGGTCACAGTAGTTTGCCGTTGATATGCATTTCAACCTTAGCCTTGAACAATATAAGGTTAACCGCCTAAACTGCTCTCTCAGTCCGGGTCATTTACTCCTAAATTTGATTTCTTAAGAAGTCCTGTAGGTTGTGGTCAGACTCCAAGAAAATGGAGTCCTTGTTTGCCAAGCTAAGCCTTCTATATCCTCATTGTGCTCAAAATTGACATAATTCTTAATGTTTGGTTAAGAATATTGTTTTCAAAATAGGTCTTCAAAAGCAGTAAAGTGACGGGACATGGAGGCATGCAAATTCACACAAATGACCCCGTCTCTGAAGATCGCAGGAGGGTTAAATATTGTAGCTTTTCTTGTATCCACAAAGGTTAAAAATTATACTTGATCACAAACACATACCCCAACTTGACAAAGGCTCTTCATCATCAGACATCAAGACTGTTTTGAATTAGTAAAATCTCCCTGAAATATTTTCCCGGAAACTATCATTCTAAAAGCTGTCCTGTACCAGCTGTAAAAAAAAAAAAAAAAAAAAAAAAAAAAAAAAAAAAGCATAGATAAAAGGATTAAGCATGGAATTGGTCAGAGTAACCCAGTTAAGCGCCTCAGTGACAGAAACTGGCACCGGGTCAGCACTGAATGGAACCAGGTTATGCAAACAAGCAGGGAAGTCCAACAGATGAGAAAAATGTCCATAAAGATAGCCAGAGTTTTTGTGGCCTCTCTTCCTCTTGCTTGCTGTTCCTCCAGAGTTTTTATTGATGTGGATGATACGGGCCTGTCTTTGTGCAACTAAGAAAATCTTTAGGAAGATGCAAAGCATGATGAGAGCCAGAAGGTAAAAGGAAAACATCGGACCTAGAGTGATGGATAACAGAACCTCCATAGAACAGTTTTCTTCACACGGTTCATGATTTAATCCAGCAATAGTTATGCCGATTCCAATTAACCCGGAAATACCCCAACTCGTCAGAATCATCGCCACGGCAATACTGTTGGTCATCCTGGTTCTGTAGGTGAGAGGCTGACACACTGCGTGATATCTGTCAACAGCAATGCAACACAGGTTCAGAATAGAACAGGTGCTCAGGGAAATGTCCAAGCTGTCCCCCACTTGACATATAAAGCCATCATGAAGCAGACAGGAGCTCAGAGAGAACGCCATGCTGAAGGAAAGACCAGCACGCCGACCAGAAAGTCCGTCGCAGCCAGGGAGACGATGAGAGCGTTGGTCGGAGTGTAGAGCTGTGTGAAGTAATCCACGGAGACTATTATCAGGAGGTTTCCACACACTGTGACGACAGCTACAACAGTAAGGAAAATGCATAGTAAAACACACAGCTTGGAGGAGACAATCTGAAGGGAAGAAGAAATTCATTGCAAGGATGAAGATGATCTACAGCTCCAGTTCTGTTCAAAGTTTCCATATTACTCAGCAGAAGCAACAGATGTTATTCAAATGAAAATGTCTAATTTCAGCTGCAGCATATCTTTTCAGAAAATCATTTTTGATTAGCATCACAGCATTACTGCAGCTCTCATAGAGTGTCTCTGACGTCTGGACAAGAACTTTTAATCTCATTCTTTTCAGACTCCATCTCATTACCATCATTAGGCATCAATTACCACCTCCTCCTTGTATCTAGGCGACAAGCAAAACATGTTAAACATTAACTTTCATCCCTGACTACTCTTTCCAGTTCTTTTGAAAAAAAAAACACTATAGTGTTTTAACATAGCTGTTATTTCATATTAATCAGGTTTTAGTGAGCAGATTTTTACATAAAGTAAAGCAGAAGACAGATTAAATATTAGAAGATTTAACAAAAGCAAAATGAATGAATTTGAACAATCAAATCCACCCGTATTGACTCAAGAGCCGTTGGGGTACTGATAATCAGAGATACTTGATTATTTCTTCATAACAGATTGTTTGTAAATGTGAAAAGTTAAGGTATTTAAATCTACTTACAACTGATTTTTCAGTTCATTATTGCACAATAAAAAAATATGTATGCAAGTAAAATAAAAAGTAAACCTTCAAGGACTTACAGCATCCTTAAACAAATCACAGCTAATTCTATAAACCTTGAAATCTTCCTTGAAAACTTGGTCCACACTGTAAAAAATAAAAATAAAACTCTTTAATTTACGGTACAATGCCGGAAGCTGCATTTGCCAAAATTTTATCGTAGAAATATGGCAAGATTCATATTGATATGGAAAAATTATTTATTTTACAATGCAGTTGACATTTCAACACATTCTACTACATGAGCATGCCTTGACCAGAATACTGGACCAGTCATCGTAGTACGACAGCCAGCTGAGTAACATACTTGATTTTAATATCAGAGCTTTATTTAGACTTCCTTTTTGACATTGTAACTGTGATATTGACATTTATATATTTGGTTTGGGTCTACACCAAGAAAAACTGTTTGGTCTAAAAGTGGTCTAAGCTAAGACTTGCAACTAAAAATGGGTGAAAAGCCACAGAATAGCCTGTAAACAATTCAAAAACAACAGAAAACATAAGCTAAACTTTAAAGTCCGCTTTATTTGATGTGGTGTTATTGTAGCCGTTTGTAATAAGTGCTATATGAAAATACTCTCCAGTTCCCCCTAGTTTTTATTTAACATAACGTATATTTTATAAATTCTTTATCGCTGTGCACATCCACACCAGCAGAGGGCGCAGTAGCGGCACCGTATGTGGGCATAGAGGACCAACACGCAGATACAACTCAGAAATAAAATGAACTTTGGGCTGATAATAACGTGCCCACTCCCATCTAGTCAAAAGGTATGTGTTTTAGCAATTTAAGATTGGTTGTAATATACTGAAAAATACTGTTAAAAAATGTTGAACTGCTGAAAATAAACTTTGACTACTCCAATGAGCAATATCAGTGTATTTTTATATTGTACATATGTAACCCCACCTTTTTGTGAGACTGCCATCATAGTGTATAGATAAATGACTATGGGAAAAGGTTGCTTAAAGATGCAGTATTATGTCATATTGACTTTTTTGACCTTTACATAATGTCATAGTGTTATTCTCCGCCAGACTAGCGGAAGCACCAATTAGCATTCATCTGGTGGAAGTGGAACCGCATTTTCTGAGCTCATCTTACAAGCTACTTCTCAGTGAAACGCCTGTAAAAATATTGCTAAAGGCTTAATGGAGAAAGGCTTAATGACATGCTGAAGGTGGGGTATCAAAAGGAGCAGGAGCTTCTTAACCTTCCTGCGGTCTTTTAGCGTGACACTCAGGTGGAGCGGGGCAGATGTCAGACAGCGGGGAAGCAGTGTGTGTCCCGTCAGACTGTCAGACCCTGAAACTACACAAAAATAAACTTTGTAAAAGTGCATCTAGTGCGACCCCACCTGATCACCCATAGGGTATAAAACTTGCAGAGTCCATTGGACCCTGTCTCTTAAGACCGCGTGAGAGTTAATTTCAAGCCATTAATGAGCGAAGTCGAATTTGATATAGTCAGCATTTTTATAACAATTGACGGTAACATAGTTTCTTGATTGCGCTACAAATGTCACTATGGGCCAGGAAATACATAATCTTTAAAACCAGTAGTAAACATTGTGATGTCCTGATGAAAATCTTTAGCATGTTTGAGTGTGAACATGCCCCCAAATCAACTTTATTTTGTGTAATTTTTTTGACATTTTTGCATAAATTTGTTTAGTTACACATAATTCCTTTAAAATTTGTGTTTTTCATTTCCCCTTTGGGATCAATAAAGTATTTTTGAATTTGAATTTAAAATGATTCAATTCCTGAAATAGAGACAGAAGAACAACTATGCTGAACTACAGCAGGAAACGAGCATTTGACTGGAGTTAGATAACGCTTGTGACTCCTGGGAAAATACTCCAGGAAGCTCACAAACGGTCTGTGTCTGCGTTTGAACGTGAGCAGGAAAAGTAATGTTCAGTTCTGACACAACTTGTTTGGACCTAGGACAAGGTGACAGGTAATCATTTCACACTCTTTTCTTACAGCATGTAACTACAATTGCACCTTATGATGTTTAGTGGAGCTTGGTATTTAAGAAATGATTACATATTTGAACTCCAGCTATATTGTTTTTATTTACAGAACAGACAAAAATAAAATATCTCTTTAAAATAACAGCAGCTCTTCTTTTCTTTAAATTCTTTTTTGGATTTTTTTTTAGGTTTATACAATTCAACACAAAACATTACTGGAGACAAGTGATTAAATACTAGAAGCAGACAATCTAAAACAAAGATAAAAGATTCCCCTTTTTTGGAGTCGGTTAATACTCAGTGAAGGTAACAATTGTGAATTTCGTTTGAATAATTCCAGAAATGTATTCTTTCTGAGATGAAATTATTGATTTCTCTTTTTTCTGAGAAAGCAAACAGAGATCTGTGGTTACTTGGCAACGTCTGGTAGAGAGGACGACGTAGGAACCACTTTACCGATTAGTAAAGGACTGGAGTTCTACCCACAAAGAGTATCTAAAATCATTGTGGAAACTATTGTCTCTTGGCTTGGTATTGCATTCCAATGGACAGTTGACTGTTCAGTTACAAAATGACAAATCAATCATGGTTAAAAGTTAATTAGAAATGATCAAAATCTTTGAAAAAGAGTATGGGAAAAAAATTCTAAATACACAGAATAAGATTGTTGACATGAGAGATACTTCGCAGAGTGTTTGCAGGCATTAAAATGAGCACTCCTTCTTTAATTTAATATTTTAGCGTTCTGATAACGATAATTAAAGATGTTGTCAGTGTGGGAGGTTTTGCTAACTGTAAGAGTCCAGTGAGAGCATTTTCCAGGCAGTTAGAGGAGAGCAGTGATATGATAAATAGAAATTCTGGCTTTATGGTCACAGAAACAGGATTTAAACATTCTGATGAAAAAAATCTCTTGATCGCTGTTCTAACTTGTTGCGTGCATAATTTTTTTCTTGATAGTTCAATATTGATTTCAGCTGACATTTTATTTACATGTACATGTACAACAAATCTTCATTTTCCTAAGTATAGTGGCTTATGAGATGCAAATCATTCAAACAAATTCACCTCAAAACTCTCACGTGAACAGCTCTCTGCAGGTGAACCATGTTTCCATGCCTATGAACATAAAATCCTTTATTTATGCACAGCGAAGTGTTACTAGTACAGGCAATCAGGCGGATGGTTAGTGGCCTTGACGCCAGGTCAAATGAAGCAGTTCAAAAAGGGAATATGTTGTTCCAGCTAGCAGCACCGGATCCTGTTTGTCAGCTGAATAAGTCAGTGAGAGCAGAAGTGACATTAACTGTCCAGATTGACAAAAACCCCAATGAAAAATAAGACATCTGTAAGAAGTGAAGACAGAAGTTTACTTCAGCTTATCCAGTAGAATAACTTGTTTTCATTGTAAGGACAACAGCATTACCACCTTAGATGGACAGAACTCCTACTTAATAAGGCTTTGTCCACCCAAATTCACCTGCTAAGTCCTAGAATAGGCAAGAAATGTATGAAATGTTGGGTAGTCTGGGGATCTGTGGACACTTTCTGCCTCAAATGGCCTGAACCTGAATGGAGCCTTTTCCTATCCACAGGACTCCAAACCGCTTCACACCACATCCAATCATTCATGCATTCACACACACATTCACACACTTATGGAGGCAAGCTACATTGCTGTCACAGCTGCCAAGCTGTGGCACCACCAGCAGCAGACAATGTGAGTGAAATGTTTTTCCCAAGGATGAGACAGACGGGAATTCAAACCGACAACCCTCCGGTTACAAGACAAACTGAAACCACCGATCCCCTGGAAATGGATTTTTACAAACCTTTAGACCTCACAGCATTCTTCTTTGTAGTGACCAAGTTGTATTAGCAGAAAACTTTGAGATAGTTGGAGAAATTTGTCATTTTCACTGATCAGAATTTTGCATAAGAAGGAAACATAATACTTGCTATGAAATGTTGATGATGATGATAATCATCAGCTTTATTAAAGACACAACTAGGTCCACATGAGAAAAAAAGAGAAAATAGTAGTAACCATTATAATTAAAAAAATAAAAAATACAATTAAATCACATAAAAAATAATAATCACAAATATAAGTCACTGATTTACAGAAAGGCTAAATCACCAGTGGTTCGACATTCTGGACTTAAACCTGACTGAGCTTTGTGTAATATCTGTTACTATAAGGATGATGTTATTTGTAGAATGAATTATTAAACTTTATTTTGAATCGGCTTTTCTCTAGTAAGCTTAAGCCACTTAGTAACTAACTTAATATTTTTGACAAGATCTCAGGGAATGATTAACTCATTGCTTTTCTTTTTGCCGACACACCTGTCGCTGTGTTCAAGGAAGTTGTGTCAGGATTGAATATTCCATTTCCTGCTCATGTTCCAATACAGAGACGCTGAGCCGTTTGTGAGCTTCCTGGAGTATTTTCCATGAATACATGTGTCACCCACTAGAGCTAGATTCTTTTATGAGAGTTTTTATACAAATGTATTCAGCCATGTTGAACCAGTTAATGACAATGGTTCTGTTCTTACCACCTACTCGCCAGTAGGACTTTCAAAACCAGCTATGTGATCACTTCTAGTGATCTTTCTGATTATTACTTCACTGCCCCATACAACTACGGCCTTACACAGGTTAAACCAGGAGCTCATGAAGACTTCTCAGTCCGTTCTCAGAGTACCTGGAGAAAGGTGCGAATGACCCTACAGTCATTTGAATTAGTTTAATTCAGTCTTCTGTTATTTTGTCACGAGAATTTACTGAGTACCAGTGTAACTTTGTGTGCTGACAACTGCAGCTAATATGAAATCCCCAACAAGGGTTTTGGACAAGTTAATGAAAACAACGTTGGAACCACTAAATTGACTGTAGATTGCTTTTTTTCTTCTCTCCTTTGTTTAAAACTCACATTTTTGTTTCTGTAAATCAAACAGTTTTAAAAGTGTACAGGAAATAAGATCTTTAATAAGCGAGGAGTGAAAGGTAAAGAAGTAAAAGGTTTTTTGAGGGAGAAGGATAAGTTAAATATGACCTTTAACATTTTCTGCTCTTCACCTTTGAGCTTTATTCTAAACTGTATTCTAAAAAGGAAAACAGTTAAAAATGTTCTATTAATAGAATTCTTTGCATTTGCTTTTCTCCCTTTTCTCTTTCCACACATGTTTATTTATTACTTCCTTGTAGCTTTAAAAAAATATATGCGAAACACAGTGTGTCGCTAGTGATAAATGTTTTTTTTTTTTTATTTGTATTTTTATTCTCTCCTTAGTGAGAATGGTTTTCCCTAAAGCAGTGTGGTTTGGGTTTATTCCTCTGGTTATTTGCTACACTGAGAGCCAGCCGGGATTCACAGCCCTCTATGAGGTAAGCACTGAAAGTTAAACAGCCAGGCTTCATGGCCCCAAACAATATACACAAACAATATTTTGTCTCAGAATAATACCAAAAACAATTATTGATCAGTATTGATTTCACAGTTGGATTAATCTGATGATTTTTACAGGACTTGATGGAAATCGACTCACTGCTTCATGAGAGACAGAAAAGAGAAGGTGAGTCACTGCAAAACACAATGTTCTTTATTTACTTATAAAATATGCCTTATAGAATCAACATAAAGGTTTTGATGTCTGTATCTATTTCCACTCTAGCTCCAACAAATGATTATGAGTTCCAAGCTGTGTTGGGCCTTTCTGAGCTGGAGGTTCTTGAACTGTTTCTGAATAACCCCAGTTTCCCCATACTGATCAACGGCACAAGTCAGATTTCCAGTATGGACACCACAACAGGTATTTTTCAGTTAATAGATTAATATTTGAAGTCTTTCAGCAAGTGTTGCATTAAACATTTCCAATGTGTGCTCTTGTTTTTTTCCCCACAGTGTGCTCACCTCACATAGCTGGGTACCTGTGTGTGTGTGAGGAGAACTTTGCCTGGTCTAATAACACCTGCATTGCATATGGAGTGTGTGACGTCATGCGTGGTGACACATGTGGCTGCATTAATGACCTGCCAGCTGATGGTCAGTTCTGCCAGCTGAACAGCAGCCAAACAGGCAAGTTTAGAGAGGGTTTAAAAATGCATATGCTGACATTTGAATAGGTACGAGTTCTAGAAAATTTGCCCTCTGGTGGAGAAGTTAAGTAGGAGCTGGGAGAAGAGTAAACAACACCCGTAACACCAGTGCACCAGATCCTCCTGCACCACAACATGATGCTGCAGGCCCTCACAGTTGGGATACCACTCAAGAAGACAGGTTCTGTTTCCCAGAACCTGTCTTCTTGAGTGGTATGATGATTGGACATCCCTATCATGTATATATTTGGGTGTAATTGTTTGAACAGATTATTGCTGCACCTTTAAGCATCTGGAAATTGTTCCCAAGGATCATTCAACTCTGCAATCAATTCTACTTTTGATATCTTGGCTGATTTCTTTTGATTTTCCCATGGTGTCAAACCAGAGAGATGTTTACTGGTTCTATGGCCTTAAAATACATCCACAGCTGTGTATCTAATCAACGCACTTAGGTCAGGTAACATGTAAGAAGTTTCCCATGACATAATTGAAGCAACATCTAGACTCCACCTGGATGTTAAACCTTGGGAGCAAACAGATGATAACCTTAAGCACACAGGGAGAGGGGTTACCAAGTGTCCTAAGAACAAGAGTCGATGATTTGGTGTGAAATAAATCTGTTCAGCTCTATACTGAGCTCATGCACAGTTTTGTCTTGTTTCTAAAAGTAACTGAGCCTCTTAAAGTTTGCCTGAAGTTAATATGTTAATGTAAAACGTGTTTTTCATCAACAAGCTTCATGAACTCTCCTCTTACCTCTCACACACAGACGCTGCGGACATCAATGTGGGCATTGTCTTGTTCATCCCAACCTCTAGTGTTTCGTCAAGTATATTCAGCTCCTTCAGAAGTGCTCTGCAAAACATTTCCTTCCCATTAGCCCTCTCTCAGTCTGTGGGAGTGAAAGAGATGTCCTTCACCACAGGTAAGTAACAGTGTAAGTTAAGTGGTTTACCTTGTAAATCAGATTAAATGAGAATTAAAAATCCGTCTGTCTTCTTTTGAAACAGCCTGTGATCCAAACTCTGCTAATGGGCTCCAGTGTCAGTGTGAGAGCGGCTTTGCTTGGCCATGTGACACGTGTAACAGCAGCAACTCATGTAACAATCAGACCTGTACATGTTTATATGGACTTCCTCCCAATGACGAGTTCTGTCAGCCCGTTACAAGTAAGCATTCTGTTTTTTGTTTCTCTTTTTAATAAATGTTGTTAATGTTAATCAAATAGACATATGTCCAACATCAATAGTTGCGTTCGATTGATCATATTCACACAAATTGGAATTGTGAAAATAAATTAACTTAATGAAAACACAGCAATTTAGAAAAAAAAAACCCTCACGTTTTTCATAAAAAAGTTTTGCATTAGGATGAGTGAGTTTTCCAGTCATGTTGAAATTTGTGTAGTTTGTAAAATTGCAATGGAAACACTTTTTTCACATCACAAGTCACTGATCAACAGTTGAATGTTTCTACTGGTGGAAAAGACGAAGAAGACGACAGGAAGTGACAGGAGGATGACGTTAGCAGAACATCAACAAAGTTTAGCAAACATTCGTAATGGAATAGCAGCTGTAGAGACTTTGTTTGAATGCAAATATGGATTTCAGACTCTAGTCCTAATGATCCTACATCTGTTGCTTTTATTTAGTTTTGTTCCTTCTCTTACTTCACAGACGCCTCTAAGTGCGATTCAACTCCTCCACCTCCCACAGGTATGAAAAACATGAAGATCTGAGTTGTAGCTCAACAGATGAACAGAGCTTAGAGTTTGTTTCAGCAAACAGGTTCAGCTTCTAGTTGCATCAGTCAAAACCTGCAGATTTTCATAAATTCTGATGTTTCATGTGCAGATTATGTCATGAAAACATATTTTTACAAAGCAAACTTTTATTTTGTCACATCAAATCACCAAGTTTAGTGTATTTTCTCTGGTTTTTATGTGATAGTGTGATAGCTCTACATGAATTTGTATGTCGATGTAAAGTGAAATTAAACAAAGTGCGTAATTGTGAACAGGTGACAATTTGGACAATTTGGATGTCTAAAATTGCACAGCGGAAACAATAATTCAGCTCTTCAGTTTCACACAAATGTTTTGAATGTGTGAAATATACTATATTTTATTGATTTATCATTTAAATATTTTTGCTCTCAAATCCTTAAAAACAATTAAGTCCTTCTGTTAGCTTTTTAAATGTTTTTTTTAACTTAATGTTCTTTGATTTTTTTCTCTTTTTTTACAGTGAAATCAGCACCATCAATAAATTATTTAACTCCAGACAATAAAGTTACAAACACAACATTGTCAAAAGAATTGGAAGCTAGTAAAGCCATGGAAACAGCAACAATACAAATAATACAAAATATAACACTGGTCACTGGTGTAACAACAGATACGCGAGTGATGAATGAAACCACATCAGAAAGAGAAAATGACACAACAGTTGGAGATGTTAGCATAGTACCAAAAGCAACATCAAATGTGAACACACTAGAACCAAGTCAAGACAAAATAGTTTCTGTTAGTAAAAAAACCCCTCACACAACAATGACAAATGTTTCCACAACACCAATAGCAGTTAATAATACAGTGGTAGATATAGTTACATCAGACAGAACACTAAGATCAACAGTAACACATGCAACCACACAGAAAATAACTCTAAACACAACTATGTCAAATGCCACCACACCAGAAATAATACCTGACACCACAGTGACAAATGCAAATGCAACTTCACCAGAAACAACCCCAACCATGACAAACACACACACATATTCACCAGAAACAACACTGAATACTAGATTAACAGATGCAACCTCATCAGGAATGGGCCTGAGCACAAGAGTGACAAATAAAACCACAATAACTCAAAGTCAAAACACAACAAAGGGGATAACCCTAAACACAACAATGCCAAATGCAATTTCAATAGAAATAATACCTGATACAACAGCAGGTGTAACCAGAACACAAATAGCAGTGGAGACAACGTCAAATGCATCTGAACCAGAGACAATGGTAAACACAACAGCAACACATGCAACCTCACCAGAAACAACCCCAACCACAACAGACACACACACAAATTCAACAGAAACAGCATTGACAACAAGATCAATAGATGCAACCTCAGCAGGAATGGGCCTGAGCACAAGAGTGACAAATAAAACCACAATAAACCAAAGTCAAAACACAACACAGGGAATAACCCTAAACACAACAATGCTAAATGCAACT